CACTTCATCCGAAGTGCCATGGCCCCCTGTCATCCCGATGCCACTACATTTGTAGCAGGTTCCCTTTCATAAACTTGTAGTATACATTGCATGTGTAGTGGCATTACTGGGTGTTGATGCACGAATGTCACTGCTCTCTGGATGTAGTGCCAGCTCCGGGACGACAGGGGGCGGAAGAGTGCCCGGATCGAGTTGGGCCTTGGCACTCAGGTTGAAGCCGGGGTGGGGGGGGGGGCTCGTGACCGGAGGTATGGACCCCAGGACCCCCAAGAGCGGGCTGGGGGATGACGTGTCCACAGCCCAGGTCCTTCTCGAAGGTTCGAGAAGGAGGGCGTGGCTAGGGGCGGAGAGAGCCGGGACTGACTTGAAGACCTGAAGCCGCCACCTGAAAACCTGAATCCGTCACCCTGAAGAGAATCCCGAAGACAGGACACGGACCCTGGCCGGGGTCGGGCGGGAGTTAGCCTCCCCAGTGTGTTAGGGTATGTTAGCCCAGAGGATATACCTCTTCAGAGTATCGGGTGGAAGGGGCAGTTATTCCTTCGTGTTAAGGTTTATTATTGTTATAATAAACGTGTTGCCTCCAGTGAAGTCTCGCTCTCTCTTCTTACCCACTACACATGCAATATACATTTACACTATGAAACATTGAGTCCATTTTAAGTTTAGTTCCATAGTTGTGGCCTGGTAGATGGTTATATAAATAAACGGTTAGGCAATGGGTTAAACAAATATGAAATCATACAAAATACTCTTTGGTTCTTTTGGTAAAGTCACGTCATCAGGCAAAGGAGCTCCTTTGCCTGATGACGACTGCTTGTGTTGTGATCGAAACGTCATGATTTGTTTTTTATTTCTAACTACGTGACTTTACCGAAAGAACCAAAGAGTATGGATTCCTGCAGTCACGAAAGCTTCAAATCAAGATCATACAAAAAAAGGATTGTGCTGATCCTTATACGGATCAGAATGTAGGCCTTTAGGAAAGCAGATTAATGAAAGATGCAGACTTGGTTGGCATAGGGAAGAGAATATTGGAGAGAATATTGAGAGTTTTAAGGTTTTAGAAAATAAGACGTAAAACAAAGGAAAGTGGCTAGGACAATAAAAAGAACAGATGTCATGTATTTCAGCACCTGTTTGAATCTTGAAAATCCTGATACATTTTCTTGTGTAAAGAGGAAATGTAAACTGGGTAGAGGAGGCCATCAAGCGATTGGCAGAGTTATTGCAAGAGAGATTAAGGGAAAGCAGTGACCAATTCAGTCAGTACAAAATAATTACAGACGCCACGGTGGCGAGATGTTCTCTCCCTCACATGGTATGCAGGTGGTCATGGGTTTGATCCCGACCCTGACGCCTGTATATTTGGAGTTTGCATGTTCTCCCTATGGTTGCGTGGATTTGTCTCCGGGTCTTCCGATTTTTCTCGCCACATTAACAAACATGCATTTAGAGTATTTGGCTGATACAAATTGCCACATGATGAGACACTTCGTTAGGCTCTAATTTGTGGCCAGGTTGCTTCTGAAGAGCTATACAGCTCAGCTGAGTTTCGTTAAGTTTTTCAGTGCTACACTCAAACAGTACAAAATAATTACAGGCGTGTCTAGTTTAACGAGCGTTCTTTTCCATGGATTCGCTATAACGAGTAGAGACCGATTTATAAATGCGTTCCGTGGCAGCATGGGGAGCACCATGGCCCGCAGTTGTTTGCGTACCAGTTGTGCTATACTGCACTGTGTAAGCGCGTGCTTCGGGTGGGTGCGGTGTGGGGAGTGGTGGCGCAACGGTTACGAACCCGGCGACCCGAGTTCGATTCCCGCTCACAGCCAACACCAGTGACGATTATCTTAACCAATTATTGGCCTTCCCTAGGACAACGCAGACTTAAATGAGTAGCTGGTGTGGAGTGTAAACATTGCCATTAGTGAGACATAGACGGCCGGGCTAGTACAGCACACCGGTCCTGTTTGTGGATTTGCTCTCTAACACACCGGTGTGCTGTACTGGTAACGAGTTGGCATGTTCTGTTTACATGACAAACCTTACGAATTGGCTGTCTCGGGTGGTGGCGGGTTTAACGAAACATTTATATTTATGCGTTCTCATCCAAAAAACCTATATGGATGATATTCGTCGCGAAAGCCTACGTGTTAATCAGAGGAGGTGATATCAGGCTACACGGAGGATCTTTCATCGTGGTTCTTCATGCGTGGTAAGTGTTACATTTTACGTCATTCTTTGGTTCTTTCGGTTAAGTCACGTCTAAAGATAAAATAATAAATTAAATAATAGCATATTACGACGTTTCGATTGCAACACAAGCAATCATCATCAGGCATAAACGAAATAGCAACAAAAATCTAACTAGAAAACTATAGACAGACATACAAGCAGACAGACATCACAAGGACACACAGAGAGAGGACACATATCGGCACAAAGAGAGAGGTCGTTTCTGTGACGGTGCCTTAAATATAGAGAGGGGGGCGGGGGCGGAGAGAGGGAGGGGGCAGAAAAAAAATAGCATATCAATGAGTGGACGGCAACGTGATGCTGCAAGTAAGATGACGACGCGGCACGGCACGCAAGCTTGAAAATTAGGAGAAAGGCACACTAAAATTAAATAACCTAGTAAAATATCGAAATGTAATGTAATGCAACACAGAGAGTCGGTCAACACACAATTAACGCATAGCCTGGTTGATTACGTATTTCAAAGATTGCTAAGTTAGAATTTAAGTGTGAAAATTCCAAAGAGAGGACACAGGCAGAGAGAACAAATAGCCAGAGAGAGAGAAAAAAGATAAGCTTAAAACTTCCCCGTAGAAGTGGTTCAATCTTAATTTTGGAGTTTTCGTGACTGCAGGAATTATTATTTGGTTCTTTCGGTTAAGTCACGTTAAGTCACGTCTGCTTGTATGTATGTCTATAGTTTTCTAGTTAGATTTTTGTTGCTATTTCTTTTATGCCTGATGATGATTGCTTGTGTTGCAATCGAAACGTCGTAATATGCTATTATTTAATTTATTATTTTATCTTTAGACGTGACTTAACCGAAAGAACCAAAGAATAATTCCTGCAGTCACGAAAGCTCCAAAATTAAGATTTTATGTCATATTCCTTTATTTAAAAATTGTACAGTAATTTGTATTTCTCGTGTTAAAAATTCGTTCACGAGTAGAACATTTTCGAGGCTAAATCGTACCTCAGCTTTTAACGTGAGGAGGAGTCAATGGGGGGAAAGCGACGATTGTTCGCTTTTTGCCGAGGTAGTTTTCGTGGAACGCATCTCGGTCGTTAAGCGAGGCGTGTCCGTGCAGGGGCGATCGGTGACGTACGCGAACATCCGGCACTCATATATGGAAGAAAGTGGGCGTGGATTTGCCCATATATAGTATTTTGCATCGTTAATTGAGATTAATTGTATCTAAACCTGCTCAGTCGATCCATATTAAAAACAAATATCAAAGATACTGTACAGGAACTCTTCTTCTTACGAACGAGATAGGTTCCAGAGGTCTGTTCGTAAGTCGATTCATTCGTAAGTCAAACTTTACTCCTGTCATTTCCAAACATGTTGTACGGCGTGCACACTAAACACGGGGAATGGCTTTAATACTAGATTTGAAGCTTTCGTGACTCCAAGGATTCATACTCTTAGGTTCTTTCGGTAAAGTCACGTAGGTAAAATAATAATAATAACAATAAAATAATAATAAATTAAAGTAATATCTTTAATTTATTTAATTTATTTTATTTTATTATTTTTACCTACGTGACTTTACCGAAATATCCTAAGAGAATGGCTTTAACAGTTGTATAATCTGTTGATGTAGATGCCACAGGTTCTTCACGTTCTGCAGACGCCACCATCGCCATCTATTGCGCGGCGGTTGAACTTACACCTCTTGGCCCGAAACAAGCAACTGGACATAGGGACAGGTTTAATCTAGATTTGACGTTTTCGTGACTGCAGGGATCCATACTCTTTGGTTCTTTAGGTAAAGAAACGTGGGTATAAACTAAAATAAATTAAATCACGACGTTTCGATTGCAACACAAGCAATCATCATCAGTTGGGAAATTTTAAATTTTCTTGCTGTGGTTTTCCCACCTGATGATGATTGCTTGTGTTGCAAACGAAACGTCGTGATTTAATTTATTTTATTTTATACCTACGTGACTTTACCGAAAGAACCGAAGAGTAGGGACAGGTTTGTTCGTATCTCTTGAAAGTTCGTAAGTCGAATGTTCGCAAGTTGAGGAGTCCCTGTCCCAGATGAATAATAATTTTGCGTGTTAATCGCTATGTCGATTCTTTGCCAATCGATTTACGGATTAGATAATGATGCGACACGCCCCCGTCATTTGATTGGCTAATATCAAGAAGCAAGATTACGATTGTACCGCAGCGCCATCTTAGGTGGGGACGTCTCGGTGGAGGTGGCGCCGCTGCTCCAGCGAAACCATTCAGGGTGGGGGGAGATGGGGAGGTAGAGGGGAGGGATGGAGGGGAGGGGCGGAGGAGGGGAGGGGGGAGGAGGGATGGAGGGAGGGGTGGAGGGGTGGAGGGGAGGGGCGGAGGGGCGGAGGGGCGGAGGAGGGGAGGAGGAGGGATGGAGGGAGGGGTGGAGGGGTGGAGGGGAGGGGCGGAGGGGCGGAGGGGCGGGGGAGGGGGGATGGAGGGAGGGGTGGAGGGGTGGAGGGGAGGGGCGGAGGGGCGGAGGAGGGGAGGGGGTGAGGAGGGATGGAGGGAGGGGTGGAGGGGTGGAGGAGAGGGAGGGGGGAGGAGGGGGGAGGAGGGGAGGAAGAGGTGGGTGGAGGGGAGGGGCGTGGAGGGGAGGGGCGTGGAGGGGAGGGGCGTGGAGGGGAGGGGCGTGGAGGGGAGGGGCGTGGAGGGGATGGGCGTGAAGGGGAGGGGCGTGAAGGGGATGGGCGTGAAGGGGAGGGGCGTGAAGGGGAGGGGCGGGGGCGGGGGGGTGGTTCTACCCGCCTGAGTGTTTCCCAGACCAAGGTGGCCGCCGACTACCCGCGTCGCGGCCATTCACCCGCGGTCGAAGCGTCGGGGAGGGACAGAGCTCCCGTCTCGCTGTTGGCTGTTCGTCTCGTCGCTTCGCTGTCCCTCCGCTGCTGTTGTCGCTGCTGTTGTTGTTGTTGTCGCTGTTGTTGTTGATGCCTAGGTCGGGACTCGGGAGGAGAACGCGGAGCTGAGCCCCACCACCCACACCCCACACCGGCGGGCGGAGAAGGAGCGACATGGCGGGGACGGCGACACCCGAGTGGGGCCCCTTTGACGAGAGCTCACAGGTTGAGGCGAGTCGGGGAGGCCACGGGAAGACGAGGGGAGAGACGGGGAGAGAGAGAGAGAGGGGATAGAGGGGATGAGCTCGGGGATGGACGGGGGCATTATGGATGTGCGCGGTGGGGGTAACGACAATAGACTGAGAAGGGATGAGGTGAGGTGAGGGTTGAGGTGAGGATTGAGGGGGTGAGGTGAGGATTGAGGGGTGAGGTGAGAGATTGAGGGGGTGAGGTGAGAGATTGGGGGGGTGAGGTGAGGGTTGAGGGGGTGAGGTGAGAGATTGAGGGGGTGAGGTGAGAGATTGAGGGGTGAGGTGAGAGATTGAGGGGGTGAGGTGAGAGATTGAGGGGTGAGGTGAGAGATTGAGGGGGTGAGGTGAGAGATTGGGGGGGTGAGGTGAGGGTTGAGGGGGTGACGTGAGAGATTGTGGGGGTGAGGTGAGAGATTGGGGGGGTGAGGTGAGGGTTGAGGGGGTGAGGTGAGAGATTGTGGGGGTGAAGTGAGTGATGGGGGGGGGGGGTGAGGTGAGAGATTGGGGGGGTGAGGTGAGAGATTGTGGGGGTGAGGTGAGGGTTGAGGGGGTGAGGTGAGTGATTGGGGGGGTGAGGTGAGTGATTGGGGGGGTGAGGTGAGGGTTGAGGGGGTGAGGTGAGAGATTGAGTGGGTGAGGTGAGGGTTGAGGGGGTGAGGTGAGTGATTGGGGGGGTGAGGTGAGAGATTGTGGGGGTGAGGTGAGGGTTGAGGGGGTGAGGTGAGAGATTGAGGGGGTGAGGTGAGAGATTGGGGAGGGTGAGGTGAGTGATTGGGGGGGTGAGGTGAGAGATTGTGGGGGTGAGGTGAGAGATTGTGGGGGTGAGGTGAGGGTTGAGGGGGTGAGGTGAGAGATTGTGGGGGTGAGGTGAGGGTTGAGGGGGTGAGGTGAGAGATTGGGGAGGGTGAGGTGAGAGATTGAGGGGGTGAGGTGAGAGATTGTGGGGGTGAGGTGAGGGTTGAGGGGGTGAGGTGAGAGATTGCTGGGGTGAGGTGAGGACTGAGGGGAGTAGCAAGAGAATGATGGCGAAAACTCGGAGAGGTGTGAGGGAAAGAGAGGGATGAGGGGATAGCCAGGAGAGGTGAGACGAGTTAAGAAGACGAGTTGATGGAATGAGGATGGACCGGGGTCAGACAAGTGCAGCGGGATCGGCATGGAAACGAGACGAGGGGCAGCGGGAACCAAACGTGGACTGGGAAGCAGAGCAGATGGGGCAGCGCTGTTGGCTACGTACGGTGTGAAAGAAGTTTAACATACAATATATACAGGTGATGCAAAGCAGCAGAGGGAATTTGGGCATAAAGCAAAGGACGAAGCGTGCGTTCGTGGTTCAGTAAATGAAACAGGACCCAAAGGTTGGGCTGAACGATTTATCGATTTCAAATCGAAATCGCAATTTGAAACAATGCAATTTGCTAATCGCAAAGGCTGCGATTTTTAAATCTATTACAGTAAATATTGAACTGAAGTTTGACTTTTAAAAATGTTATCGCAAATCAAATCGCAATCGCAATATCTGTCAGAAAAATCGCAATTAGATATTTTCCCCAAATCGTTCAGCCTTACCCAAAGGGCAGAGCTAACTTCTGATTCGCATGGTTGAGTCAACATACATAACCGCTGTGGGAATGCTGCCAGCAGCATGGGGCATTGGGTACGGACAGATCAATAGGTGCATCGGGCACAGTGGAGGAGCATTGATGCACAGGGCATGGATTGTAGAGGAGCACAGGACTGAGTCAAAATATCAGGAAGCACAGGGTAGGTTAACATCTCGCCGCAGTGGTGAGATGTTAAATTTTTTGCCTGGTATACAGGAGGTCATTGGTTCGATGCCGACCCTGACGCTGGTATACTTGTATCTTAATTTGAAGCTTTCGTGACTGCAGGAATCCATGCTCTTTGGTTCTTTCGGTAAAGTCACGTAGGTATAAAATAAAATAAATCACGACGTTTCTATCGCAACACAAGCGGTCGTCCTCAGGTGGAAAAAATACAATCCAGCAGTGGAACTGCTGAACCAGCGAGAGAGCAGTTACAACAAGGTTATATATGTGGCGATGTGCAAGCAAGCTGGGTCTGAGCTGGATTGGAATTCCATCCACGGACCCAAGCACGTCATGTTGTGTTAATGGGGGAGATTAGGGAGAGAGGGATTAAGGAGTGTGTGTCTCTCTCCCTGTGGTTGTGTGGATTTTTCTCTGGGTTCTCCGGTCTTTGGAAGATATAAATTCCCACCTAAAATGGCACTTCGTTGGGTGATCTCTTGTGGCTTTTGAAAAAAGAGCTTAATAGTGTGTCTAATCTGGTAAAAAAATATAGTCTTAAAAGTTTAGTTTAAAGACCACGATGGGCCAGGGGATGGGGAAACATGGCGTAGGTTGGCACACAGAAAGGGGTTCATTCCTGGGCCTGCAGGGTCTGGTTCAATGAGGTTCGTGCAGAATGGCCAGTGGTTCACCCAGCGTTATGAAGGGTGCTGCTGGAGTTTACAGCCAGAATTATTAAAGTTTGATATGGCTTAAGCTTGACATTGATAGGGAAAGTACACGAACAGTTTTTTTCCTGAAAGATACAATGTCCATTTACTAACAGCTCGGCGTATGCCAATATGAGCACAGCGCTCCTCACATACGACGCTACTAATTCACAATTGCGGTGCTTAATTTCTAAAAATGCAATTTTAAATTAAATTTCCGTGTTTACAGAAACAAAAGAGTATAATAATTAACAAGTGAGAAAATAAAACGCATACTGATAAAAAATATATGTACAGTATATTTGTTATAACAATGAAGACCAGGTATTTAAATCAGAACACAGTTACTTGCATTTTGGCAAGATGCATTTTAGTTTTAATACCTGTATCAGGTCTCTTGCAAATCTTGATCGTTTTATGAAATACATTTTTCGTATACAGGACAGTATAGGCATGAGTTGCAGAATTGCAGAAAATGTCATTTATCCCACTGTCCCTTAAACGGTGTGTCAGAAAGGGCAAGCATGCATGAGCCGCACTTGTCAACATTAAGTGTTTCCATCTTGGCTAATTACTAGCTTTTGGTCCAGACAATGTGTAAATAAGTATTATGCCATACACTTTATGTCACTGCTGCCAGTTGCTGTGACCAAAACATACAACTTGCCAGTACAACATCTTGAGAATAAGTACTTGCATTTTTGTTTATCGTGTGAATTATGTAGCGTCCTCGGCTATTTTCCATAAAAGGATTTTTTTAACAAATATCAGAATTGAAATATTTGTACTGGAGGAATTTGATGAGCTATAACGCGTTTTTTAACAGATTTCCAGAAGGGGCACGGGGTAAGGACATTACAACAACAAACAATATAAAAAGATGATAGTAGTGCAAAGTACAATCAATGTGTATTGACATTGGGGATGTCACTGTGTGGTGCCGGCCCTGGAGGGCCATGACGTGTGATGTACTTACGTCTCGGATAGCATCGTGTGTGTTGCTGAGTGAGGCCGGCTCGAGCAGAGGACGGAGTGCGATGCACTGTCATCGCGTACACCCCGTAGGTGGATGTAGTACTAGTACTAGCCCTAGCGGGGCTTGGTGAGCGCTGGGATAGCGAGGGCACCACACATGTCGTGCAGTGCGGGCTCCCACAGGAGGGAGCAAGAGAGTGTCAGCACAGGGACAGGGTTGCCCCGGGCCATGGCACTCTGGTTGACCCCGTAGGCACGTGATCCGGAGTGTCCATAGAGAGGCCCCCAGGTGGGGGGGCTAGAGGGTGGTCACGTGTCCGGGGAGAGCTCTCGAGAGGGATCGAGAGAGAGCTGGAACGCTCGCGAAGGTGGGTGGGGCTGAGGGTGGAGCCGGCCCCAACCCAGGAGGATATAAGGTGGGTCCCTGGGAGGGACCGGGGTCGCTTCGTTCTGCAAGCAGGAAGCTCCACGTTCTACGTCTGAAGAGGCACCAACACGTGGCCCGGGACCCGAGTGGGGGTTCGGTCTGTCGTAGCCATAGCCCCTGTATGGTAGTGTAGTTAGCTGGGTGGTCACCACCCTAGGCTGTATCTGGTAAAGGGGGCAATTACCCCTTTTGTATATACGTGTTGTGTAATAAATATGTTGCATCTGAAGAACAACGTCTGCGACTCAGTTGGACTCACTGCAACTGGTGTCGGAAGTGGCCAACACGCTAGTCTATATAGCTAGCGGTAGACTATGTCTACACATCGCAGACCACGTACCAAAACATCGGACAGTGAGGAAGAGGACCTTGTACCGCCTATGGCTCCGGAGGATTGAGGGGAGACGCTACCGGCGGAGCAGAGCGCTGTCCGGACACGCGACGCCTCGCCGTTGGCAGAGGCTACCTTCCGGGAGGCGCATGGTCGCCTAGCGGAGCTCCTCCATGCTGCGGCTTCGATCCTCACGGAGCTCCATCTCACGGATGCGCCGGTAAAGGAAAAAGCAGTGGTGCTGCTCGTGGACGATGACTCCGCCGCCATTTTGCAGCGGGTGGGAATTTCGGTGGCGCAGCCTGCGTCCTCGGCCGCTATTTTATCGCCGGCGCGGAGCGCGCCGATGGACATCCCAGCTCTCCGCCGTCGGCTTCCTTTTATCAAAGAATTTGCGACTAACAGTGGCGATTGGGTGGCTTTCAAGCGGCGGTTCCTCATGAACGCCGACTTGGCTGGATGGGCGGAGGCGGAGGCGCTGCGGGCGTTGCCTGCTGCCCTCGACGATGATGTTCTTGCGGCGTTTCTCGCCATCCCGCCGCTGGAGAGTTCCACCCTTACTCAGGCTTTTGACCAGATGGCGTAAATCTACGAACCTCCGTCGAATACGCGCCACAAGTTCGCCACACGACAGAAGGGTGAAACCAAGTCGGCCCTCGCCTTCTCGTAGCGCGCTTTTGGCGCTGGCAAAAAAGCCGCCTTGGGAGGGTCCCTGGGAGGGTCCCTGGGAGGGACTGGGGTCACTTCGTTCTGCAAGATGGAAGCTCCACGTTCTACGTCTGAAGAGGCACCAACACGTGGCCCGGGACCCGAGTGGGGGTCCTGTCCGTCGTAGCCATAACACCTGTATGGTAGTGTAGTTAGCTGGGTGGTCACCACCCTAGGCTGTATCTGGTAAAGGGGGCAGTTACCCCTTTTGTATATACGTGTTGGTGTAATGAATGTGTTGCCTCTGAAGAACAACGTCTGCGACTCAGTTGGACTCTCTACAAATGTTAACGAATCACCCAAGCATATACAAATAAAACTAATCCCCATCCTACCAGGCAAAGTCCACTGAGGTATTAACATATTATTCAGAAGCGACCTGGCCACAAATGATTGCTCAACAAAGTAGCTTATCATTTGAACATTTATAGCAGAAAAATTATCTAAATAATATCAATGCATGTTTCTATGGTCAAGGGGGGCACCATGGGCCAACAGCATGGCAAGGTCAAGAGGTCATCATGTCCAGTCTTGGTGATGCCATCAACTCTCACTTGCTTTCTTCTGATCAAATACAGTACAGTAGTGTGGAAGTCTACACCTAACCTTCAAGGTCTGCTTTTACAGAATCCCACCATCTGGCTTTACATGTTGCCCTTGTTCGCCATCCGCTGAGTGGCACCCGTATGCCTGTCTTGGTAACCTGCCCTACTCCATCCTGCTCACATGCCTAACCCACTGCAACATCCTTTTCCTAGTTACCCGCACTACCGGGTTAGCATAATAGAGCCATGCTCGATCCCATGCTCTATTATGAAGTTACAAGTTGCCTACCCTCCCATTTTTTCTCGCGTCAACCACATGCACTTGTATTTAGAAGCCAAAAGTACAATTTCTAGTTGCTTTGTTAAATTCCAACACCGAACCATACAATACCATGGACATTACCCCTACCTCAAACACCTATTTTTTACATTAGAGTTGACATCTACTCTTTTACACAGTATTCATGACAGATATGCTATTCTGTAGTTAATGTGTAATCTATGATTGTTTCAGTCTTATCATCAGGTGATATCCCTTTTATTTCGTGTGACTTGAGGCTAGTTTATGTTACACCAAGTTCTAACAAGTCACAACAGTAACCGATTGGTAAAAGCGTGACTTAAGACAAAAAGAGGCAACATGACATATGTGAGCATGATAGGAGAAAACAAATATCTGCACTCATAAATTAAACCGAAGGCAGCACTGACTTAACCATAGATAAAACAGCGAGGAAACAGTTTAGCCCCAAACACAAAGTTTACAATTTGGTCTCATTCTTTACCTCGACTTATACACGTGCTTCATCACAAACATATCTTATTCAAATATTAACCTCTTACAAAGTATTGCAAGAAAATTAGGTGAGCTCATGATAAACATTTAGTTTAAACTGGAATGTTACTATGACACTGATAACCTAGCATTGGCTGAACGTTTCTGCTGCTACAATGTGCTGTGAACTGCTATCTTTGAGCAGTACATTGTGGAAGGATCATCCTCAAAACCTAAAGGTACCCAGTTTAGGATTATGAGACCACTCCTTGTGTCATGATGATACACCCAGTTAAGCCATCATTAGTCCACGGTTACTTTATTTAACCAATTGCAATTGGGACACAGTAATCTGGAAGACCTCTAAACCTCTGTATTTTTTCTTACAAAGTCACTGCTGGGATTCCACTATAGCTATTTTATACAATTTATCGTGATGTGGGTCATTGGTCAAAACCTCTTATCACAGTCTACTTGCATGATGCATTTTCGTGTTTATTCAATGGATTCACAACACCATTTGACTTGCCACAAACCATTGCATTTGTTGTGAATGCCTCATCCCCATCAACTGGATAGTCTGCCCGGGGTTAGCTAGTGATCCCCCTGTATTCGTCTGAGACCTCGGAGTATCCTCATCAAAGTGACATCTTGCTCAAGCATGCGTACGATGGTACTCATCTCTGTTCACATGCATGAAGCAGTGACGTACATTCCACTTTCCTGTGGTAGGGGTCAGTCTTCATCGGACAACAATTTTTGGTGTCTCATAATATGGTACAAAGATTATTGACCCCAGATGGATTGTGGGTTGAGTTGTCCTCAACCGGGATTGGACTTTGAGATTGTGCGTTGAGCGCCGTTGCTACAACATGATGGAGATGGATTGTTCTCAAAGGGAACTTACGTGTTCATTGAAATAAGATGCATATAAGAATAGATATTATCTTTTCTGGCAATAAAACAGGTGTTATGATGTTAAAACACCAAATAGAAACCTTTTGCAAGGAATCATGTCTGCATTAACCACATATACTTGTGGTGAACATGAAAGAAAAAAAACATGCTCTGGTAGTATATGCATTGCCTTTGAAACTGATTGGTCCACATTAGAGACAGCTTTCTTCATAGCCTAGTCTCAAACAGTGTTAGACCAGAGGACGCCAAAAGGCGAACAGCGGTGTGCACCGTTAATAAGATTAACACTTGCACACTGGCTGAGTAGTAAAGTATAAGATATGTTTTACATATCGTGTATAGTACTTTTGAGGTTTTTAAAGAGATTAACATATGTTCATGTTGGAGTGTTTTCATAGGCAGAAACTCTTTGCTTGCTGTTCTGCACAGGGATTTGCATGCTTGCCAAACTGGGTTCAGTGAGGTTTTTTATTTGATTCTTGTATCTCTTCCATGATAAAGTCACGCAGAATTACGCAACCTCTCCATCTGCTGTTAAGTGTGCTTTGAAGAGGCTGATATCATTAATACGAGTAGGCAATTGTTTGCTTTCAGTTCCACATTTTCAACTAAATTAAAAGAATACGAAGGGTGAAGATATAGATGTCCATGTTTAAATTGTTGAGAGCTTCCATATCTTATTATGATTAGCACCTCCAATTCGTACGGTTGGCTACGTACCAGTGCGAAAGAAGTTCAACATACATACATACTTATGGGATTCGGATCAAGATATTTGGTAAACTTTAACTGTGAAGGTGGTCACCATAGGAACATGAAATTTATATCACGCCATCAAAACTACCAACAGAGATAAACATCAGCTAGACCTGGAGTGTGTAAACACTTTTTTAAGACTTAAATAACAGTTTGTTTATTATGCTGAGTTAACTCGTGCACCTATTGTACGTTTGGGTTGTGGGAAAATGGTGACATTTATGATGTACAGGTACCGTCTAGGGATGGACTTAGGGGATAAGGGAATGAGTTGAGGAGGGTGTCTAATGTGGTGGTTATATGAAGAACAATGCATTCTCAAGTTTGTTCAGCTATTGTTTCTCTGAGTGACAGCTCCCAGTTACTGCATTATAATACATTTAAAAGAACATGCACCATTCCCAAGACTCTCAGCAGTGGACTTATGATTCTCTGAGAGCCACTGCAAACCTGTACCCTTCAGGCTCATGAAGATGGGCACTCCATAGGCAGAAGAAAGTGGGGGCAGACGGCAAAGGAGGTCCCTTTGTATGTAGCCCGTACTGAATGATGGTGATGTGTGCCACAGCAGGGTGGCCCTGGCGTGGCTGGGGGTGGCGCAGCTGTGATTGACATGGAGAACATGGACGACACATCAGGCTCGAGCTTTGAGGACGTGGGAGAGCTGACGCAGCGGCTGGCGGACGCGGAAGAGGAAGGAGGCAGTGAAAACAACGACTTCATGGGGGTCAAGGGTCTCCGGGGGCAAATTGGGAAGCAAGTTGCCGACCAGGCAAGTTGTACTTCCTTGGCGTGAATGCTGCTAGATGTATGAACCTGATCGAAAAATAGGCAGGCACATGCTTGTCAGAAGACAAAGCCGAGTGGGCTAGGATTTCTACGTGTTTGTGAAGACAAGTTCACCTTTTTAGACTCGTTTACTGATGGGGCAAGTGCTCTTAGTGACCACCTGTTAAGGAAGGTGTGGCACAAGACATTAATGTGGCCAGCATCATGTCTTTATTTCTCCTAGTGCTTGTGTTGACATTGCATTTTTTTAAACCAAGTCTACCTATGGCAGATTCATGCAAGGTTTTGATAGTTGTCACTAATGTTCTTATCCTGCAGTTAAACTTGGATCACTACACCACTGTGCCCCACACACATGCACATCATTATATGCACGTACATTATGGAAATCAAATAAGTCTGTACACTCGCGCGTATGACCTCTTCCAAGCTTGTGTGCATGTGGATACTCGAACCTACATGAAACATTTTCAAAAGAACAAAAATGTTTGATGTCATTGTCGGTTCTACCGTATTTTACTGCCAGATGCACCTGTAATTCAGGAAATTGGAGATAGGGTTCGTGGATCACACAAAGATGGGGGTGTATGTTACAGAGTGAACACTTGTGCAGTAATACAACCTTCAGGGTAGCTATTAAGGTGTGATAACGTGGGTGGGTTGTGAGCAGGTGCAAGTGAAATTAGTTTTTTATCTGGCCGTTTTGGTCTCCCACATGAAATATAAAAAGGATTGGCCAGATATCAATGAGATCATTTTTTATGAATATTTGAACTTTGTTCAGTTTTCCTGCTTAAATATAATTATTTTAATATAAGAAAATTATCTCCAACGAAATGGGGAAAATGTTGCCAGGCTAAATGTGAATACTCCTATTTTGGTTAAACTGATATTTTCAATTCTGAGAGATGAAATTTAGAAAAACACAAATGTAGCCATATTTAACGTGATGTTTTGTTTTAGTGCAGTTATTTGCTGGGCTGACTATCAACTTGCAGCACTTGAGAACCTAGGTTAAATCACAGGCAGCTGGCTCCATTCAAACCGAGGATCTTGGTGGTGCCTGCTCACCGTTCCGAGTTCCAGTACCTCGCTTCCTCTAGACTCGCCTCCTCTCGTTTCACCTTTGACACTTTTATTTCATGTTGGAATGATGCGTGTCTTCTACCTGCTTTATTTGAAATCTTGGATATGCTGACATGACAGGTATGGAGAGCAGGCAAGCAGCAAGCGACCAAAGCCTTCACTCTGTACGCGAATATTGACATCCTGCGGCCCTATTTCGACGTGGAACCAATTCAAGTCAGAAACAGGTTAGTATTAGGATTGCTTAATGAGAATTGATAAACCTTAACCATTTGTATGATCGATTACTGGTTCCAAAAGTCAAGAACTGACAACCATTTTTTGTGGAATGTTTCCAATGAATGCACCAATATTCACACATGAACATACAATTGGCACGGCACCTGTGACTGATTGGTAACCGGCGGCAGTCTTACAATGCATATACCTACGACAGGCCTGAATAGGTCCCCACATGATAAGATTTGTTTCTCATTTAAGGTAAAATACAAAAAGGTAAAGGTGTTGTCCTGAAACTGCTTGCTCATGCCACTTTTGGAGGAAGCGCCTCCAATGGAGGGAGTTCTAGAGGGTATCTGTTCTATTCTTCCATACTGACTAGACGTGCTGGATGAGGTGGGCATACCTATACTTTGCCCCACCATGCAATCTGTCAATCGACTAACTGTATAGCACCCATTATACTGGTGGGTGGAGAGAGTGGAGGGAATTTTAAGAAACCTACCTCATTGTTTTAACCAGTGGTTCTCAACCTTTTTTGGCTACTGTACCCCTTGTTGAAGTTTGTTTCAACCAAGTCCCCCCTTGCCTGATCCAACATGGTTCTGAGAAATAAATGTATGAAGAATGAACATCAACATTTTAACCCATTGTCGATTTTGTGAGGTATCCTAACTAGCTTGTAACTGCAAGCGAATAAAAACTAATTCAACAGACACTATGCATGCATGGCGTAATTTGTTCACGCCTACTCTTGGAAACCACAGTGTTTATGATCAGTGAGTTTAGAAAGGTATTTTATATCGTTCTAGCTTACCATATGGATTAAAATGTTATCGTAGTTATTTTATATTGGCAGATTCATACGTAATTATTCACCACTGACTCTCGTGTATGGTATAATTTCACACGTAAATCTCCTCACGTACCCCCTGGGATATTGCCACGTGCCCCCAGGGGTCTGCGTACCCCTGGTTGAGAACCACTGATTTCAACTATGCACCAAGAGATCGAACCAAACCAGAGAGCTCTGGATTGCAAGGCTAGTGTGTTGACCATTATACCACGACAGCTTATTTTGTGTCTCAATTAATAAAGTCAACATGTTTATTAGTGCTCTACACATCTATGTGTGCCACAAACTGGCAACCAGATTTTTTCTTTTTTTCATTCAGTTACTGGTAATGCAAACGTCTTTTTTACCACACCAGACAGAATGCAGCTGAAGGTTTAATTTAAATAATGCTCTTTCGAGGTGTGTTGATGCACACCAATAATATAATCAACACGTGAAGTAAAACAGTTTGTATCACAAATCGGTCTCAAGCACGATGTAAGAAAAGGTTAATAAGGGTTGGAGACTGCACTAAACACCATGAGACCTCTATCTCTCTGGTCTCTGTTTATGTGCAATGGAGGGCCCTTGCCCGAAACGTTGCCAATTATACATTTTAAGGCAGCGTTGTTGATAAGTGTGATTTTTTTTTATTGCGTTTGTGCTCCGCTGCCAATGTAGCATCACCAATGATGTGTTTTAAGTATGATGTATGATACACCCACCTGCTGACTAAGAGGGTCCCTGTAAGAGGCAGTACAGCAAATGAGGCCGTGTTCTTTGTACAGAGTTTCACTTTTCACTGCTTGTTAGAATGCGTCAAATTTCCAGCATGCTTTTTTTAATTGCTTTTATTTTGTATTGCTTTTATTTTAACACTGCACTGACTTCAAAAGTCAGTATCTCCCTCCTCAAACAAGCACTGTGACATGCTCATCTTCAGTGTTAGATCAGAGCCGGTGTGAACATACCTCACTCCTATGGCAGTGGCGAGGCTATCTATATAAACTACTATTGCCATCTCAAACAGTAATACAGTAGTCATTTTATTGACCCCAGATAAGGATGATGACCTGATTTGACCCCGGACCAGGATTGTAACTTTTGACGTTCCACTTGTGAGTCAAGCGCTGTAACCACTTCACCACCCAGCAAGATAATTCTGCAATAATTACACAAATAATGTTCACGATGCGAGTTGTAGCACTGTTAGGGTAGACCTTGATATGACATCCATGTGTTATTAAAACAAAAGCCTAGTGCAAACCACAGCCAACCATTTTAACTATCCGTGGATAATGGATCAAGTGAGGACAGAATATGCTTGAGTTTCAGGTGAAGAGGTTGTCTAAACTATGTCATGTGCATTAAGCACACAAGAAGACAAAAGATAACTTTTTGCAAGGATGCAGGCAGCTGCATAGCAATTTCCATGGCACCTATGTAAAGTTGTCTGTGGTGAAATGCCAATGAATGTCAGATTTAATTTCATGAAAATGACATGTATTCCACAAGTGCACTATAATATTACATAGATGATTTGAAAATGTAGTAATACTAATTTTATCTGACATGCACATGTGTAGTGGTGTTCACGGAGGCACACACTTGAATTCGGAGGCACTATGTTTATTACAACCCCAACAGGGTAACTCCCTCAGCTTACAACGTAGCTAACTAGACCCCAACAGGATCACTACATAACGTACAACACAGTTAGCTAACTCGGTCTGGGTAACTAGATAACTGGGTCAGGGCAGCAATGTCTGCCTGACCCACGATGCCGAGCGCGATAACCGAAGACTGACGACTGTAGACCAACGATGACGAGACGAGGAGACGTCGCGCTGAGGGTTGATTTCACCAACGAGCCAAGAACACTCTTGGGACTGTTCCTTTATGCTCCTGGGCGTGGCCTCTAGCTCCACCTTCGGCCATGCCCCCTTCGAGACCTTTCCCAAAGGATCTCGACTGAGCATCATGTGCCCTCGGGTTCACTCAGGCTACCACGTCCTCAGTTGCCCTCTCTCAGGCCATCACCAAGAGTATGTCCCCTAGGGCTGGCTGACATGCCACACTTACTCTGGTGCTAGAGAGGTTCCAGACGCACAGTTGCACTCCTGTAACAGTAGCTGGCGCGAACACCCTAGTGACACCATTTACGTCACTACACATGTGTTCAGGATTGCTGTTATCTAAGCACTCCAGTGGAGTTGGATAATAGGGCTATCAACAAACAAACATTGTGTTTGAAGTATTCTGGCAGCAGTTAGGTTTCTGCTTTGTGGCTTGAAGCCATATTATTGTGGTTTTCAGGTCCATACTGCATCGTATTTGTCAAAGCACAGAAAGAAATGCAGGGTATCCCTTTATTTAAAATTATTAAATCAATCATGAATAGGCTAACTAATACTACTTTACACAATATATCTAAACAAATGTTCATGGAAGAGATATGGTGAGCACTGAAAACTGCCTCCAGGCTTAAGTACAGTGAACCTTGTGAGATTTTAGCACACCCCATGTATCTCTTGTGCAAACACGCAGCAGAGGTAAGGCTGAGACAAGCCCAGAGTTGGCTGACATGGCTGGTATTCTATTTATTCTTAGAACTGGGTATTCCTTGTACCACTTGACTGTGACTATTCAATGCTGGGTCACAGTGTGACAACATTTAAAAGCCTGTATGAAGGGATATAGTCACATTCATATGTTTTTCATGAGGATGCAATGAATCATTCATAAAAATATATATTATGCTTGTGTAATATATAGAATCCTGCATGTAAACATTTATTATTTTGAATTTTCTGTATGCATGCATGTTGAACGTATTTCGCACCGTACGTAGCCAACCGTGCTAATTGGAGGTGCGGAGGAAGGACAACAAACTAAACACGAAGAGCAGTTCTAAAGAAATGAGATTTAAATTTAAAAGTGCAGAGTTCCAGTGGCCTCCTAATATCAGAAGGAAGTTTGTTCTGAACGGCCGCAGAGGCACATCTGATAGATTGCGATGCAGTGACCGTCTTTGTTCGATGGTTAGCCAAATGCCTATAGTATTGCATATGTGTATGTACTACTATAGGTTCTGCATGTATCACAAGCGCAAAACACTTTTGATCATGATCTCAGGCAACAACAGGTCATGAAATCGTGGAGGGGGTAAATGATTACATCCCTAGTTTTTTTATGTTCTGTGTTTGTAGGTATTAATTTGTTGCATATTTATTGCAGGTTGCTGGAGTCACTGGTTCCTGTTCGAATTGTAAAGTTTCCTCAGGTTAGTCTACACAGCCATGTCATTAACAATATATAGATGCATGACCTTTATAACCAGGTAGGCTAAAGAAACATACAATGTTAAATGTATTAGCCAAATATTCAATATTGAAAATTACCTGCAAATTAACTGTTTTTGGATTACACATGGGCAATAATGCAAAGTTTTGCAAAAAACTTGGCAGGACCCTTCTGGAAAAAACGTATTGAGACGCTGAGGCTTTCCTCTTTAAACAGGCTTAATAATAACAACAAATGTAAGAGCTCATTGAGACCAGAGATAATTTTCAAAGCAAATCTGGGTATAGCACCTTTTCCATGAGTCGCAGCACTACAATGAACCAGAATAAGAGAGGGACAGGGAGTAGTGTTGTGGTCATGCAAATTTTCACATGCCTCTTTTCTACCATTCTGTCACCAGTCTTGTCCATCCAATTATATTAAAAAATATTTTCTGCAAAAGTCAAATTGTCTCACTGTGCAAGGGAGCGTTCAGCAGTGCTGATCTGCATTGGTGGTTGTGAGCCAGTGGTGTAAATTCCATATTCTATGATTAGATATAATTCCACATCACTAATATATCCATGTTCCTATATCATAGGCCATTATGTCCATGGAAACAAGACTTTTACTTCCCAAATTGCAGCAGGGATGCTAAGCTGAGTAGGATAAACTCTGATATGATCTACAGTTGTAGATTGAGCGCACTGCGACAGCGTTATAAACTGGATATTGTGAATGATTACAGTGTGAGTAGTGGAATCATGTAATTTAATTGTACAAAGTTCAACAAAGGACAAACTCATAATTATTGTATCTTTTGGTAGAAGCCCCAACAGGTGTTTTATCATTATACGGTGTGCGGTTTTTTCATATTCAGAATCTTTATTTAGAATCTGATGAACTATAAAGCTCTTTTTCATAGATCTCCAATAGGGTTAGGTCAGAGCGTTACAACAACAAACAATACACAAACTCGATTGGAGTGCAATTATAGGGAAGGTAAACAAATAACCTAAACAAATATACAGATAAATTTAAACTTTTTATCTTATCAGGTAAAGCCCACTGAGCTATTAGCTTATTTTTCAGAAGCGACCTGGCCACATGTGATAGCTCAACAAAGTGGCTTATCAAAAAAAACCGAAAGGAGTGCAAAGTATAGGAAAGGTAAGAAAGTCACTAAAAATAATTAATGAATAAAGTATATCAGTACAAATTGCAAAAGTATTCAATTCCTGCCGGTGTTTCAACAATAAATGTAAGCTTGGGCAAAGTGGGAAAACAAGAGACCCAAACCATACCAAGACAACACAGTCCGTCAATGAAATTGCACATTAACATGGAACTGTTGATACATGGGTAAGGACCACAGTTACAAATCACATTGGCAAATGTGGTTGTATTGAGCACTAATCTTCATCAGGATATATTTTTTTAAGGGAAATTTACGATGTTTTTTTACGATACAAAATTTACGTTACAAACTCTACACTGAAAGGCACCTGCGTCATGAGTCAAACCCAGGTCCTTCTTGCTGTGGGGCACCAGTTGTATCACTGAACCACCTTGCTGTGTTATGCGCCAACTGTATGGTGGGCGTTTTTGGTGAATATCACGAATCAAGCAGTGTTTGCAGCTATAGAAAATAAAAAATAATTACAGGTTTTCACCCGCATCGTGTGTTAATATATGCATATTTTTCCATTCATCAATGGATTTCTGGTGAGAGTCTGGGTTCATGTAAGTTGGTGACAATGAAATAATTACCTTGGATATGCTATGCCATCTAACACTGTTCTTTTTTCAGAAAATTGCAGGAGAGCTGTATGGGCCACTCATGCTTGTGTTCACCATGGTGGCCATCCTGCTTCAGGGCATGAAGACTTCCGATACTATCATAGTGAGACTCAATAAATTGTGTTTTGTTCACCGCCACCTCTATATCACCGAAAGACGGTCAGGTTGCATGGACATTGGTACAGTGGTTTTGGCAAAAATATAAATCGGCAAAACAATCATAAAGTGTAATTTAAAATGACAGAGTAAAATTGTCTGCAAGGCAGTGGGGCAATGGGGTCATGGATAAGAATTTGCAGAAAATAAGATTTGCCCTATAGTCCCATGTATTTACATGGAGTGGGTTCTCTGCAGAATAGCCACAATGTATCTCAACTTTGCTTATATCAGGGATTCATCTGTCATCACCTCCTGTATGCCAGAGTAAACCATCCATATTATACACAGGGTAAGAAAATTGTTAGAAGTGTTAAAATGTGATTATGCCACAATCACTGATTAAAGTATGTGACACTCTCATTAGAAAGGGTTGTGGGTGGTGTTTATTACTGTCCACATATAAAAGTGCCTGTTTCTTTCCGGTTTCCTTTTTCAGAGAGAGGGAACCCTCATGGGCACGGCCATCGGCACATGTTTTGGGTACTGGGGAGGTGTGTCGTCTCTGCTCTACTTCATGGCCTACGTGTGCAACGCCCAGATCACAATGGTGCAATTGCTGTCTCTGCTGGTTCGTTCCCTTTCATTTGCACCACAACACTTTTCACCCTGGTTAACTTTCCTTAGTCATTTACAAAGCAGTGTCCTGTACACATCGCTGTTAATGCTTCCTGTTGGGCGACTGTTGTGTTGCAGGGCTATGGTCTTTTTGGCCCCTGCATCGTGTTGTTCGTGACATACAATGTGCACCTGCACTCTCTGTTCTATCTCCTGTGGATTATCATCGGTGGACTCTCAACTTTGCGATTGGTATGTGTAAAATTTGCACGTTTTTGCTTTATATCGTAGTGACTGCGATGGTTACTCTGTGCTGAATGACTTTTCAAGTACATTTTGCAAATCTAGTCATTGCAACACTCTCGCCATGTGAAACAACTACTGCATGTAAACATGGACATATGGTACCGTGGTGGCAAGATGTTAACAACCTAGCCTGGTGTACATGAGGTCGTGGGTTTGATTTACTCCTGTGTATTTGGAGTTTGCATTTTGTCCCCGTGATCGCATGGATTTTTCTCCGTGTCCTATTTTTTCCCTCCATATTTAGAAACATGCTTTTAGAGTATTTTGCTGCGATAAATTTCCATTTGTAGTGAGTCCAACTGAGTCGTAGACGTGATCTTGGTAGCAACACTATTTATTCCGCAACTGAACACAACATTACACAATCTACACTAAGGTCTCGAATGCCCATCTAACCACGCTATGGCAGAACTTGACACGGTTCGCTATCCTGGCCTGGACCACAAGCTGGGTCCCTGACCGCGTGGATAGAGGCTTCTTCTCCCCGACGTGGATCTTTGTAACACCAGCACACGAAGAACCCCGAGCTTTCCATGGGGCCCCCCGTTATATCCACCCGGGCTGGGACTGGCTCCGTCCTTCGCCCCGCCCACCTTCCAGATCTCTCGAGCTCTTTCTCGAAGGTTCCCGAGAGCTATTTTAGAACACGTGACTGCCCAGCGGCCCCCGTCCACCGGTGGCCCCCCTCCAATATCATCCGGTCACGTGTCAGCAGGTCAACCAGCGTATCATGCCCCAACGTAACCCTGGCTGGTTGACGCTCCCTCTCGCTCCCTCACAGGGAGCCCGTACCTCACACTGGTGCCTCCGCGCTGACCAGCACTCACCCAAGCCCCACTAGGGCTGGTACTACACCCCGTAACCGGGCTGCCCATAATGACAACACATTATCCGCCGTGGCTTCGTAAGCCCGGCACCACACAGTGACAATCACAGTCACTACACATGCATTAAGCCACTCTGTTGAGCTATCATTGGTGGCTAGGTCGTTTCTGGAAAAGAGCTATACAGTTACCTCTCGTTTTACGCGGGGGTGGTGTTCTTTAAAAACTTAAAAATGGCGCGCGAGAAGGAGATGCTGATGCTGTCCACTCTTGTGGTTGTCGTACTGCACCTCAGGCAGCATCGCTACTGAACTTTGCTGCTTGACTAACGATTAACTCGCAGCGCGTTTCATACACTATGGCTAACGCGCTGGATTTCTTGATGTCAATAACAATACACACTTAACAAAAATAAGTGTAAAATAATCGAATGCGCTCTTTCAACATTGTGTTATGTAAATGTGCGTAAAACGCGAGGCCTAACCTGGTTAAACAAAAATTGTTTAGTTATATACGACCCTTTTATCAATCCACTGCTGGACAAGGGCCTCCCCACACATTGAGCACGCTTCACCACACTGTTCAGTATAAGTTGCTGATAGCAGGGCACTGCACTAACTTCTACTACCTTGGAGGATGCAATCTGACACATAATTACGTATTGGTGGTTGCATGCCTGGGCTGTGTGTCCTGGGTTTCTCCACTCAGGAGTGAAGTTTTGTTGAAGAGGAAAACCTTTGTGTTTGAAAGTGTGGTATTTATGCCATCTGTTATCACCTCTTAGTGGTATTGCCCAGGTATGACTGTTACATTTTTAGTTTGTTACTATATTACCGTATGTTTATTGCTCTCTCCGCTCGGATGAAGGTCCATCCAAGTGGACTCTAGGGAAACCACTTGATAAGCTTGAGCTGTCCATAATGCCTGTAAACTAAACTATTTTTATTCTTGTTTTTTTCGGTAATTATTATTATTTTATATTATTTTATTATTTCCCTTCTACGTGACTTTTCCGAAAGAACCAAGAATATGAATCCCTGCAGTCACGAAAGCTTTAAATCAAAATTTAAACTTTTTTTATTTTACCAAGTCAGGCCACGAAGCTATATAGCTATGTTTCAGAAGCGACCTCGCCGTAAATGCTCAATGTAGTGGCTTATCACGTGGAAATTTATAGCAGCCAAATACTCACATGTTTATAAATGTGGAGGGAAAAACTGGAGGACCCGGAGAAAAATGCATGCAACCACGGGGAGCACACGCAAACTCCGAATATACCGGCATCATGGTCGGAATCGAACCCGCGACCTCCTGTATACCAGGTGAGGTAGTTTATATCTCGCCACCGTGGCACCTTTGCAGCTGCACATTGAAGCATGAATGTAGCCTTAAAACGAATTCCAGCCACAGCAAAAATCCTGTTAGCCGCTGTGTCTGTGCAACTCTATTCACAAGGATAGAGCCCAACAATCCCTGCTATGCCACAATGTCCGGTGGTGTATTGTGAGTGCTCCACGTCGAGTTTAGTGCCGGAGGTAGATGTAATATCTGTCACAGAGGCAACCCATCCTTGAGCCGGGAGCTGGGGTTTGAGGGGTGATTTTTTTCCCATGGATCAGTATTGTTTTGATATGATTGTCAAATAATAACCTTATTTTTTAGGGTTCCATCTTTAAGTGAAAGATAGACAAAAAGTAAAACGTGTGACAAGCCTACTATGGAATTCCGAGTGACCAAGACGTTAATCGTAATGTGGAATATATATTGATCTCATTCCGAGCGTGTGTTTCTGCCCAACAATGCTGCATGGTGATGTGTGTGCAGGTTTTCGTGCTGGTTTCACGTACTGTGGGCCACACGCAGAGGCTGGTGCTGGGTGGAACCGTCGCTGCGCTGCACATGCTCTTTCTGCTTTACCTGCACTTTGCTTACCATCGCATTTTAGAGGGTGAGTGCATGCGGCATTCACCTCAACACCACTTAACCTGTACGATAAAACACAATGCCCAGTTAATGTTAATGTTTGCATTATTTGGATGATAAATATACACAGCTATGGTATGCTTCTAACAAACTGAGCATAAGGTTTTCCAAAAGCACCCTTGTTAAAAATAGAACATGCTTATATTTCAGTTTGTGGAATACACCTTGTATAAGCTTATACTCTACAGTTGTTAGAGAATACATTATAAGTGGATGGTTGTGAGATCGGGGTAACTTAGCCCATCTTCTCTATGGCTTTATTAATTGAGTATCAGCAGTGGTTGCCCTATGAAGACATGGGTCCTCGCCATACAAATGTGGAATTTCCACCACCGGCTGAGGACCGCCAAAGCAGATGAGCACAGCTCCATGCTCATTCAAATAGCACAGTTGGCTACGTAGGGTGCAAAAGAAGTTCAACATACATACACTCGAGCAGCAAGAAAATTTGACTTTGTGACTTTTGAGTACATGATGACGGTGTTAACATTTTGAAGCAGGAGTTAACGTTCTTGCGTTTGTGATTTTTTTAGGGCTGATCGATTCATTTGACATGGATCCTCTCCCTGCACGAGTCCCACGGGAAGTGGCGGCCATCACATCAAAACTCGTCCTCACCAGCACCGCGGTCTAAACATCCTGCACACTTGCTTGCACCCACCACTACCAATGAGTCACGGCACTCAACCTGTTCCCAACACTCAGCAGTCTCTTAATACAAACTCTATGCTTCTGATGTTTCCTGTAACCTTGTATTTTTCATCAAACTTTGCCTCACGCTCATTAATTTTAAGACAGGTTTGACTTTCCAATCGTAATGCATGGGGGTTGATTTGGTACGAGGAAATGTTTTGTGTTTTTGTTCTAATGAGCTGGCCAAGTCATAACTAAAATATAAGTTGCAAAATGTCATTGGCAGGGTATAATACAAACGATATTTCAGCCAAATTATCTCCAATTATGACAGCACGAATACAAGCTAGGTGACTGCTTTTAAAATAACAGCGGTTGTGGGGATTGTAGTACTGTAATTATCTAACTATGGTTGTCATATACATTGTATTTTTGTTCTGGAACAATATAATTGTCCGTTTTCTTTAAACCTAAGTTAAATGTATATTTTTGTTTTTTTCCTTGAATAATATTAATGTTTCCCACTCAAATTTGTGGCTGTAATTCTTTCATGAATATCAAGTTACAATTTTCCTTTATGAAAACAAATTATGGAAGAAGTGCCTGCCTGTGTTTTTTTATTGCAGTGGCTGTTTTCAGCATAAAGTATAAAGTTCTTAACTGCAATTTCCCCTCACTTGCTGTTTTAAACTAAAGGGTTAAGTTTCCCATCTTGGTGAAAGGATTTGTTTGCAATTAATCATTTTACGTTATTATTTTACGTAAACAAACTTATATTAGGCAAACTTTGTTTTGTGGAGATAGGATCTAAGTTTATTTCTTTACAACCATGGTGATTTTTCAAGTTTAACTGTTTAAATATATATATATTATTAAATGGATCTATCCTGGAATATATTGCATTTTCACATCATTGCATAAATGTTCATTCCACTAGACGTGAATATGCAATCGAAGTAGGAAGTAATATAAATAGTATAGGTTGTAATTTAATACGTGAGAAACATAAATATTACGGAAGCTAAGTATAAATAGTTGTCAGTGCTAGAAAAATTGGGCAACTTAGAAAGAGGGATGAATACAGTTATACAGCTTGTGTAATAGCTTGCTGCATATTATTTAAATTGTTAATATCAAACGATAACACTGGACATGATTCACGTGTTGGGGGAAAAAAAATGTCATCCAATTTTTGGCGAAAAAGTGCCAATGTCTCCTTTACCAGCAGTGGCGTGAACTGCCACGTTGATGTGGATCCAGCCATTTTGTCAAGGTGTGCATCTGTACCTTTGCGTATAGGGAACCATTAGGTCAAAAAAGTATGATTGTTGCAATTTTTAAGATTACAGCTTTATTTTGTCAAGTATATATGGTGTCTAATTAAAGGATCCCAAAGGTATTGGATGAAACCAGGAATTATGGTTTCAATGCTAATTCTTAAAGACAAAAGAGGATGTTGAAGTCTGGAATGAGGATTCTCACCAACTATGACTTCAGCATTAGTTATGGTTAAGGGTCAACCAAAGCTCATACATCTACTGACAGGTCCCAGACTATTTGATTGGGCTGTGGGATCTGAAATACAGCATGATATTGTTTGTGAGATACTGACCAACATTATAGTGGATTCTGTTGTGAGATTCTGGGCAAGATGTCCCTCCCTGTTCATGCAAACTCAATTGTGGTAGTCAATTTGAGAAACTGTAAATGGACATTTTCAGTTCAAAACAAATTAGCAACTTGCATTCTTTGAATTCTAAACCCTTTTAGGATGGTGATTAGGCCTTGACTTTTCTCTTGTACAATGTTTGCATGCTTATTTGCAAAATAATACACGAGATGGGCTGTGCGCAATGAAATATAATGATGTCTGTTTTTTTACCCGTTTCCTTATGATCAAAAATATAACATGCTTAAGCAAACCTAATTGACATTCGTATAAATTCGTCGTTTTTTTCATGCGTACTAAATACAAGTAAAAGATGAATGTGGGTCCTCAGCCACACCTTTCTAGTTTGAGCTCGCAAGTAAATTTTAAACTAATGTTTCAGGCTACAAGCCACTTAAATAATGTTCTGCTACGTGAATATGGATTACTTTACTCTAAATAGGCCTGCCTGCTGATTTTTGTTAAAAATGTTTTGGAAAATGATTTATTTTAGATCCAGTTGGAGCTCGGGTAGGTTTCTCAAAACGGTTTTTTTGTGCCCAAATCAGCATTTGCTGCTCATATAGATTCCTGTACAATACGCTGCTTGTTAGTTATACACCCATTTTTAAGTTAATATTTTGTAAACATTGTATGCTTTTCTTAGGAGATACATCTATTTATACGGCTGTTATTGGATTCAGGCAAATTATTTAGTTTGCAACGATGACCCTCAACATAGTAACGATGGTTTCATTTTTAAGTTTGATGCCATCATGACAGCAATACGGGTGTGTACTCTTATGGAAATGACGCTATATCATAGGATTCACACTGGTCTGGTGTGTCTCCCTAACATTGCAAGCATTCCTGTATCTGTAAAGGTGGTGTGGCCACTTATTGCTTTCTTTACTTGCAACAAAATAGCCAGTACTATGGAGGCTGCACAATGACATCACTACTTCCCTTGCCACCTGCACTGGTTTGGGTTATTATCAGTACATCGTCACACTACGAAAAACATTGGACATTTTTTCTAATTTGGTATATTTACCTATATTCTGACCAGACCATGCATAGTTTCGCAGAAATGTGTTATCCCAGGATAAAAGTGGTCGGGGACATGAGATGAGTCTTTCCGTTCTTCGTGACTGATAGCACATCCTGTACTTTGTTACTTGGGATTAGTGTTTGAGCAGAGCTGGTGCGAGAGGGATTATGGTAAAATGCATCGGTTGTTTAGAAGCAACAGCAAATTACATACTTTAAATAAATTAGATTGTAATTTCCTGAAATAGCAAATAAATACAAGTTTGAGGGAAACCTTTGAAATAAATTGCACGTCCGTAAGCTTTTCGTCACTGGTGTTACAAAATATACACACGCTACATGCTGTATATGATGAAAAACGTAGTATTTTAGAACCCTGACCTGCATCCATTTGGTCCACTAATCCTGTAAATGTGACCGCAATTCTTTCAGTCATCCTCAGACTTCAACTACACGCAGATAAGGTAGTAGGATTGGCAGAAGCTTTATTGTGGCCCATTGCTTTCTGCATATGATTCACGCAATGCCATATGGACAGACTTTGATATAAAATCAGAGAAAACAAACGTGGGTCAAATGCCGTTGAACGTACGTGCGCTTTAACATAGCCAGGTAATTTGTGTTACAGGATATATCACACATGACGTATAATGTGTCGAACAGCATGGGGACTTCCACATGTCCGTTATTATGGGAAGCATAGGATGCTTAGAATTATTGTGAGATAAGTCCGGTTGGCATGTCTTCACCATCCTGTGTTAAAACGTGACACATTCGTTACAAGGAGCATTCACACTGTCTTGATTGTCATCAAGCCCCGTATATATATATCACTTGGTACTACCCGATGGGAAGTTTTATTTGAAATGTAAAATTTATATAGTACAAATAAAATAATTGAGAAATATATTTTGAAACTTTTATTGTATTGTGACTTAAGTAGCAACAGAAGAGTACAAGTACATGGTTGTCTTATTACCTGCATTCAAATCTTGACTTAAAGCTTTCATGACTGCAGGAATTCACATTCTTTGGGTCTTTCGGTAAAGTTACGGAGATAGGTTTTTCTTTGAACCTATCTACGTGACTTTACCGAAAGAACCAAAGAATATACCTGCATTCACTTTCAAGTTTTAAGCTTATTTTGTTTAACCAGGTGAAAAACTCGGAGACAAGGATAGCCTAATTTGCAAGAGTGACCAAAGTAACAAAAAGCTAAACAAATAAAATAAAAATTACGGGATATTTTGAGAGAATATCTTGGCAACCAGCTACAGGACCCAACAGAATCAAGCGGTGGCAACGTGTGGTCGAGTCAGTCACAATGTATACAAGAGTGACAACATTGAAAGCCTCAAGGCCACATTACGGACAAATCTATTGCCAAGACGTTCTTAGGACAAATTCTGTCCATTGAAGTGATGGAACGAGGTTTTTGTATTTGTAAAAACGTCTGAATCGTTGGCACAAGACGGCGTAAAGTTTATTTAACATCCAGTTGCAGTTCATGTAGGTTTTTCAGAACGGTATTCTTGTGCACAATCAGTATTTGCTGTAGATTTGAAGCTTTCGTGACTGCAATGATTCATACTCTTAGGTTTGTTTCGGTAAAGTCACGTAGGTAAAAAATTAAATTAAAATTAATAGAAGTAATAATAGAAATAAAATAATAAATCACGACGTTTTGGAGGCAACACAAGTCTCTGTCATCAGGTCGGACCGTCACAGCTAAATTTACTGCATCAAGCGAGGCAAAATTCCAAGAGACAAACCCTTAAATACAAGTTAAGGGGGGAGGGGCTTATCTGAATGTGGTAACCAGGGAATGGAACAGTATTTGCTGCTCATATAGATTCCTGTACAATATGCTGCTTGTTAGTGATGCACCCGCACCTTCGATTAGCACGGTTGGCTACATACGTAAGAGTAAAATATATTGATATCGTGATGCATTGAAACATTTTCAAGGCACACTGGTATGAAGATGACGTGAACAAATTTATTACATGAATATACAAATGTCATTTACGTGCTGTTATGGCACATGTTTCAATGTAAAATGATCAATGCAGTAGTTTTCTTGATGAGACTATTTGAACAGTAGCATTAGTCATTCCTTTAAGGAAATATCACAACTGACCTTTAGATAGCTCTCAAAAGATGTGACTAAACAATGCCACAGTGTGATGAGCCCAGAAATGTTTTGGGCTGTAGAAATGCCCAGTTTACACAAACGGACAACAGTGAATAAACACGTCTAAAGAATGTTTCAATCCGTGCATATTACCAATGATCTCATGGGTTGGAAACATGGCCACTGACGATGAAAATGGAAGTAAAGCTTGAACGTTTATAAAGCAGTATGGTTACATTATTGTTTGGAATTACAAAGGCATGGGGAACACAAATTGGAAACATTGTCTTAAGAAAAGTGGGCTTGGGCATAATGTATGGCCATGGTCAAGACTGTCACCTCCGATTAGCATGGTTGGCTACGTACGGTGTGAAAGAAGTTAAACATTATGATGGAGTGGCAGCCAAAGGTTGAAGTGGCAGCCAAAGCATCCGAAAGGATGACCACCGTGGAGAATGGAGCGATGAGATGAACTTGTGCAGAAGCTTCATGGATTGTTGCACCATGAGATAGTGAATATGTGGGAAGGCTTTCATCCAGCAGTGAATAAACCATGGCTGATGACATATGAGCCATCACAGATGTGCAAGGTGAAAGTTGGCGATATTATTTTTCAGTCGGGCCCACACAATGTCCACGAATCTAGTCCCATGTTACCAGAACTCATTCTCCCAATTCCCATGTTGCCACTGCCTAGCAGGCGTGGAATTTGGCCATCTTTAACGTACAGTGCTGTATTTAAATTCTCTACTATATTATTTCAACAAATGTTATGCCTTATTCTGCACTGAGGGAGCTGCCATTTTGGTCTTATGAATGGGTTCGCAAGCACACTCCACTTGCCATCCAAAGGTCACCAGCTCGCTATTCCATCTCCCAGCGGGGAAGTTGAAACAATGAATGTTTTTTTCTCAGACCTGCCCCTGGCTTCTGTTGACTCAATAGTATAATACATGTGGACACCACAGTTGGTCTCTGATCGGCAGGCCGCCTGTGGTCGGGTCAACTGGAGGTACTCACGCCGCTTCCGTCTGTCTGTCAACGTGGAAGAGTAGACCAAATGCCCACTCTAGGAGTTCCCTGCAGTGGAGACTCCTTCCGCCAGCAGTGGCGTGAGCAGGCAACTGCAGAGCTGCGCCTACACCCTATAACCGAGAAGCCAGGGAAAGTGGCTTTCAGCCACCGTTCGCAAGTGCCAATCGGTGCAAACATTGCTAACATTTCACTTGAAACGGTGAGTGGTTACCGGTTTCGTGCTTACCAGTTAACAACCCTGCTCCTATAACTACGGGGCATTTTTTTCCAGTAGCAAAATGATGAAAGATAAGAATTGGCTTTACCCTTTCTGGCAATAAAGCAGCTAAGATGTTCAAGCACCAAAAGTTACCTTTTGCAAGACATCAAGTCTGCATTAACCACAAGTACTTGTGTCAAAACATGCAAACAGACATGCTCTGATAATGTAGTCGGTTTCAAAGACAATGCAGAAATGATTAGAACATTTTACCACAAGTGTTTGTGGTTAATGCAGACTAACTAAACTATTTTATTTTACCAGGTAAACCCGCTGAGCTATACAGCTCTTGTTCATAAGCGACCTGGCCACAAATAGCTCAACAAAGTGGCTTATCACGTGGACATTTATAGCAGCCAAATACTCTGAACGCGTGTTTCTAAACGATCTTGTTTGCCCGTCCAATGACGGGTATATATTGCAGTAAATCTGAAATATTCAATAGAAAACGTGTTCAGCTCATGATTATTAATGAGGGAGGGGGGGGGGGGTTGCCCCCTGTGGAGTGACGTCACCCGCTAATGGTTATTGTGGAGGGGTTCAAACTTAATTTGGAGGAATACTCTTTGATTCTTTCGGTAAAGTCACGTATAGGGTGTTGACTGTTATGTTATCCGACTCTCTTGTATTACATTACATTTCTAAGTATACTAGATTTGTGTTTTCTATTTCATTTATACCTGATGATTGATTGTGTTGCAATCGAAACGTCGTTTGCTAGTATTTAATTAATTATTTTATCTTTATACGTGACTTTACTGAAAGAACCAAAGAGTATTGTGGAGGGGTGCGGAATGGGGAGTGACGTCACGCACGAGACACATTCTTGGCGTATTATTTCTAAAACTATATATGGAGGGAAAAACTGAAGGACCCAGCGAACTTGATGCCCCCCCCACCTAATTCCCCCCCCCCAAGTCCCCCCCCCCTAAGTCCCCCTTCCCCCCCCCAAGTCCCCCCTAAGCCCCCCCCCCCAAGTCCCCCCCCCCCGCGACGTCCAAAGTCCGCGCCGCCCATTGGCAGCGCGTGCGCGGCCTCGCGACCAATGAGAGGCGGCGCACAGAACGCGGTGCACGCCGGGAGATGCGAGGAACGGGCGGCATGGGGAGCGTGGCCGCCACGGACGGTACGCGGCCGTCTTTGTCTCTCTCTGTGTTTGTCTCTCTGCGTGGGGGGGTGGAGACAAGCGACAGTGTAGCGGTTAGCGTGCTGCGCTAAGAACCCGGCGGCCTGAGTTCGATTCACGGTCACCAACACCGGTGACGACGATCTAAACCGGTCCTGGGCCTCTTCCCCGAGGTCGACTTCGACTCGGCCTCACTTGAGTCCGGTGTGTCGTAGACATCGCCAACCAGGGAGACAGAGGGCGGCCCCAGCGTGGTGCCGGCCACATACCCGCTCGTGTGCCGTTCCCTCCTCCATAGGTGCTACTCGCTAGCAGCACTTGCTGCCCCAACAGTCTGTGTGTGGGGGGGGGGGGTCTGTGTGTGGGGAGACAGTCCCGGCAGTGAGCTCCTGCGGCATCCCCAGAGGGGGCTCCACGGGCGCGGGACGGCCTAGGGAAGAGATGGGGAGCTGTTGCGGTACACGTGGATGTGGAGCTGAGTGGACTTGGTGTTAAGGTCGGCCTCTGGAGGAGGAGGAGGAGGCTCGTCAAGGACGCTGCTAAACAGCTGGAGGCAGTCGCCCGCCAGCAATAGGAGTGACGCTCACAACAGCGAGCTGAGCGCCGGGCGCATAAAACGCAGAAGGATGGAACAGTGGGGAGCACAGGTCGTGTGCATCTGTCAGTCAATTCAGTCAGTCCATCGAACCTGGGTCTGTCCCGTGACGTGTCAGCCGGCCTTTGATACTTCACGTGGCCTCGAGGTGCACCTAGCCTGGCACAAGCGCCGTGGTGACGTCACCGCTGCTTAGTGGCGAGCAGCAGTATTGTTGGGGAGCGGTAGTGTATCGGTTAGCGCGCTGCGCTACGAATCCAGAAGATCCGGTGATATGCACGTGAAGGGGGCGTGTTGTCTGCTGAGTCGCATATTAAGAGAGTGTGTGTGGCTTTGGTGTAGGTGAGTACTGGGTCAAAGTGAATGATATCAGTGTAAGTGGCTTTGGTGTAGGTGAGTGCTGGGTGAGAGTGGGTTTGGTGTAGGTGAGTACTGGGTCAAAGTGAATGATATCTAAGCGTGAGTGGGTTTGGTGTAGGTAAGTGCTGGGTGAGAGTGAATGATATCAGAGCGTGAGTGGGTTTGGTGTAGGTGAGTGCTGGGTGAGAGTGGATGATATCAGAGTGTAAGTGGGTTTGGTGTAGGTGAGTGCTGGGTGAGAGTGGATGATATCAGAGTGTAAGTGGGTTTGGTGTAGGTGAGTGCTGGGTGAGAGTGGATGATATCAGAGTGTAAGTGGGTTTGGTGTAGGTGAGTGCTGGGTGAGAGTGGATGATATCAGAGTGTAAGTGGGTTTGGTGTAGGTGAGTGCTGGGTGAGAGTGGATGATATCAGAGTGTAAGTGGGTTTGGTGTAGGTGAGTGCTGGGTGAGAGTGGATGATATCTCAGAGCTTGAGTGGGTTTGGTGTAAGGTGCGTGCTGTTGAGTGATGGGTCAGAGTGGATGATCTCCCGAACTGCGGTGTTCTGCAGACGAGGTGATCCGCAAGCGGCTGCTGATTGACGGAGATGGAGGCGGAGACGATCGCCGCATCAATTCCCTGCTGAAGAGCTTCATCAAGTGGTGCAGCAATGACTCGCTCTCACAGGACGAGAGGTGATGCCGCGCGGTACACGGAGCCTGGCTGCCAAATCAAACACGCTTCCATTATGTTCTTGAGGAGGCATTGTGGTATTAGTTTACATTACTTAAAGTCAAGAGCAATGCTCATCTCAAATATCAGGCCACTTTGATATGAGTTGTTTGACCACGCTCCACGCTGGTCAATGCGGGTTTGGTGTAAGAAGTCGTGTTGAGATATTACTGCTGATTTTAGTTTCAGCCAGGCATCGAATTCCGTTTGGCTGAATTCATGGAGCGGTGCGCGATTCCTCCACTAACCACCCTGCCCACATCCTGCAAATCTGCGTTGTGACATGGAACCATTGTTACTTCCACGCTTCAATTTTGCTACGTGCCTGACCTGTACCGACAGCTACAGCCAGTACCAGCGAATGGTTGGAGCCCTGGCGCAGTGCGAGTTCTCTATGGGGAAAACTGTTCTGGTGCACAACATGAACCTGCGGGAGATGAACAACTATGGGAAGATCTACAAACATATCGGTGAGAACTGGAGCTGTATTTCTGCAAACGACTCGCAGCCTTGAGCCTTACAAGTGGTTTTTAAATATTTGCCAAACAACTTGTACATTTATTGTAACATCCGAAAGCTATAAATATATGTCGGCTGTAACTTTAGGTTGTTAGTGAAGGAGCTGTAGATAGGATAACAGGTATATTCGGGGTTGTTTCATGGAATTTATACAAAAAACTATCAGAGTCATTGACACTTGGGAGACTGCTTCCTCCAGCGCCCAGTATGTTCAGCCTATTAAAGAGCATATATGTAGTTAAAAAGCAGAGATTTGGCGGATAAATCGCTGAAGAAGCTTAAATTTAGTTATCAGCTGCAAGGCAGGCTTTGGCAAAACAATTCATTTGAATTCCTTATATATGTGAGGTGATAAAACACCATCTATGTGAGGTAATGGCTTTTGACACTAAAAGAATAACTATATACTTCTCTGTTCCTGTATATACAGGTATACCTCGATTTAGGAAGGGGGATGCGTTCCTAAAAACACACTTAAGAAAAGTGTATAAATCGGAATGGCTTTTCTCCAAAAATTAAATACGAACAATTATGGATGTGTTTCGGATAGCCTTACTCTACTCCTAATCTAACACTATACACCTATATCACTTTTCATAGTACAGTAATAATAAAGAACAAATATTAAAACGATTGAATACTAATTAATTTAAAACTAAAATAATTTACCTTTTCTGGGAACTCGCCAAAATATCTGCGTGTTGGAATGACTGGAAAGTTGATGTGGAGGCGTTACCGTTGCACTGTTGGGACACCGTGACACTGTCGCAGCCTTCTTGGTGCTTGTTTGATGATCTCATCTCGCGTGCCGTGGGAAATTTCGTTCACGCGGAAATTCTATTTCGTTAATTGAAAACTGTCCATAATTTGTCAATTGCGTGAACGCGAAACTTGGGAAACTGAACGTTCGTAGATCAGGGAATACATGTACAGCGTTTTCATGTGTTTATGCACCTTCACATATTGGTAATTCTTGCATTTTTTTCTACTCCGGCAAAAGAGGACAGCATTGCAGCTGGCCATGAAAGGATCACACAGTGCAAGCAGGAGATCCTTCAAGCCAAACGGATACGCAAGAATCGTCAAGGTAATTGCTCTCAAGTTTAAGGTCCGGCTCTGCACCTTGTGTCATGGTGTGGAAGCTTCAGCAGTGCAGAACACGGCGGCTCGAAGGCTGAGACATCTAGCCCGCTTTGAGCACATTCCCACTCCGCGATCTGCACTGGCTTCCAGTAAGCTTCCGTATCCAGTACAAGCTGGCTATTTTGGCCTGTAAAGTAGTGCACGGTCTTGGACCTACATATCTACAAGCACTCATGCGACTGGGGGCCTATGTGCTGCGATCGTCAGAGAAGGGCTGACTCTCCCAGCCACGCATCTGGCACCCGATGCTGGGTGGCCAGGCCTTTTCGAGTACCGCTCTGAGGACCTGTGTGCGCCGAGTCTCTGTTCAGGAGGGAATGCAAGACTCACTCCAGTCTGTTCTATTACGCATGTTTTCATAACGCAAATTGGATATAGCGCGATGACTGTATTAGGGAACACATTTTTAATAATGCGGATGCGAATTGGATATAATGCAGTTGAGTGAACAACTACTTCACACCAGTAGGAATAATAAGCAGTTGTACGGCTGCCTCGGCCTAGCATTACGCAGGGCGGGATGCTGCTGGATGCTTCGAGATGCTACCCACGTGCCTCAGTCTTTGTTCACCCTGTGTACGCATCTCACGTTATCGCGGACTGTGCTTTATTCTATGTATATTTATTTATTATAACGCGCGATTTCCATAACGCGCTGTTCTACAGGAACACAACTACCGCGTTATAGGAGAAAATACTACGTATTGATTTCCCTCAAGTACATTTTTTTTTATTGTTCCGTATTTTACCCGATTTTATATGAATTGTACCCCCTTGATTGGGGGTGATATTAAATTTTAAATACACCTTTAAACCTTTCAGATTTTGTACATTATGAGGTGGGTCCAGCAGATGTGTTTTAGAAGTGGAGGATCCTCGACTGTTGTGATGGTGGTTTGATGTCCTCTCCTTTCTCAGAGTATGATGCTTTGGCCAAAGTAATTGAGCAGCACCCTGATAGAAGCAAGACACTCAAGTAAGTGTTTCACAATATATTAAAATCTTTTTATTTTAGTTTGCTTTAACATCAGTATGGAATAAGCGTTTATTTGTATCGTGAATCGTGTTTACATTTACCATTGAACACATTTGTTTCATTGACATGAAGGTCAGTTGTGTTTGCAGCTCCTCTGTGACCCTCTGTGCTCCCTTCCCCTTTCTGACCCCCAACGTGGTAGTCACGTGACTATAGTGGCCCAAGGGGCTCAAGTAATATTGAGCTTTGGATTCTTTTAATTTCTTAAATTTTGTCAAATATTTAAGGATGTATGTTGAACTTCTTTCGTGCCGTGTGTAGCCGACCGTGAAAATTAATACTAAAACACACTGCTGTATTTTTCAAATTGTTAATATTTCGTGCATTCCTATTAAAAATAAAGTTAACATGATAACATACTTTTGTTGGCAAAATAAGCATGAGCATGTTTTTGATTCAAATATGGCAGCTGTACTGAATAAGGGTCTGTATACTAAACTGTTATTTATGAAAGATGAATCAGATGAAAACAATTTTGGTTAGATATTCTGTGCAGAATTCCAAATGTAATATTAAAAGTTTGATCAATCAAGATTTCCCTTGTTTGTAAATGTTCTCCCTCAGGCAACTTGAAGAGCTGGACAAAGATCTCCAGAATCTGTTACAAGCCAAAGAGAGTGTTGAGAACAAGGTGATTTTTTAAAGTATTTTCTCACACTACACATACTCACTCCCGCGTGATGTGCATGTTGCTGACGCAATTGACTTCTGCTAACAATGTGTGCTGTGGCTCCCTGTGGTTTAGTTGGAGCTGCGGAGGAAGCAGTTCCACGTGCTTCTAAGCACCATTCATGAGCTTCAAGAGATGCTGGAGAGTAAGTCAAGTTCAATATCTCACAAAAATGTTCTGGTAACTTTCTTATCCATATTCATCGACAGTGAAACTTATCTGTTCATGCACCTATTATCCAGCCCCCAAATTCATACAGTCGTATTATGTATGCCAGTGGTTCTCAACCTTTTTTGGCAACCAAGTACTCCCTTGCCTGACCCAACATAGTCCTGAGAAATAAATGTGACTAATGAACATCAATAGTTTAACCAATTGTCAATTTTTTTTAGTTATCCTAACTAGCTAGTAACTGCTAAAAAATTAAAACATTCACCGAACGCTCTACATGCATGATGTACTTTTTTTCCGTCTGCTGGCTACTCTTGGAAATGACATTATTTACAATCAATGAGGTTAGAAAGGTCTTTTATATCGTTATAAGTTACCATATGGATTTAAATGTTATCATAGTTATTTTATATTGGCAGCTTCATACATGATTATTCACCAATGACTCTCGTGTATGATGTCATTTCACACATTTATGAATTGCCTCACGTACCCCCAGGGGACTGCGTACCCCCGGTTGAGAACTACTGATGAATGCATCGATTATTCGGGTTACTGGAGCCCTTGAGCAGATAAAATGAGTGACCCGGAATCATCGGAACATTCATCATATTGAGCAGATTGTAATTTGTACATTTTCTCTTGACTCTTAACCTCACAGATGATGAAAAAGTTGCAGAGGCTGAAGGTGATACTTTGATGGAGGTGAACAGCAATTAGACCTCATTCAGCGTTTTATGCTTATTCCACATTCATTGATGTACCTGGCTCATTGTGCGTAAATTGTGTGGCCATAATTTCATAAAATGTATGTTTTATTAAGTATTGAAAAGTGTGTGCCATTGTCTGTAACTGTCATTAAAGCTCAAATAAAGTTTCAGAACTACTATTGGGTGCTCTTCATCTGAAGTAAATTGACAATTTTAAATATATATTTTCATCTACGTAAAACAAATCCCCAATTTTAATCATTGTGCTTTTGGCATCTCATAAGATGAAAAATCTATTCGGATCTCTCGTATAGCAGTGCAACCCTTGGTGTTAGAGAACGACCCATAGAACCAGATATCAGAACTATGTCTGACATTACAATTGACTGCTGGTATATAGAGCAAGGTGCAGCACTTTCCCACCGACTATTGTTTTTATTATCTGAGCTGAATTCAGCCAAATGAAGTGCAGGACTAAATTTAATGTAATGAGTTTTTTTTTTAGTCATTGATGACCAGGCTGAGCCCATCAACTTGCTACACTTGGAGAAGCTGGTGGACTCAAACTCAGATTATGAGTGGTGCCATCTCAACACTGACATCTGAGCTATCTGGCCACCTCTTATTTATTTTTATTAATTTGGTGTGCATTACAATTATTTGAGAAAATACATCGCATTGTAAACCCAGCCATTGGAACGCTGCCTGCATTTCCTTATTGACCACTCGTGTCCTTGTGTATTATAGGGAAAAAACTTTTAAACACAAGAGTGATACTTTTTATTAAGTGTAATATGAGATAATGTTTACATTGTATAATACAGTAAAAACCTCAATCGAGCATTCTTCAGGGCCATGAAACAACATGAGATGCAAATGTTTGATTGGTGAATGCCATTTCGTAGATACAAAAGACAGGTTTTTTTTAATCCTCCCCATTTTTTCAACTGCCTTTTTGATGCTGTTCATCTTAAAAGTTTTCCTCTCACTCATACATACCTGTCAACCCCTTATCAGTGCCTACCCTATTACAGACCAATTCAGACCTTATTGGTTACCCCGTGCCCTTATAAATCCCCACGTTCATCCCACGTTAATCCCATCACAAGGGAGAAACAAACAAATTGACAAAACATTTGTTTTTCTCGTTGAAACGTCTGTGCGCCGTATGGATTGGCAACATGCACCCCTTTAAGGACTGATTTGTGGCGTTATTACTGACCGTCTCGTATTCACGTGCCAACATTGCAGCTCTTGAAATATTTTTTTGTACCGAATTCGAAAAAAGTTATCTTGTTATTTTCGTTGCCGACCCCTGTTCATACCTCGTGCCTTCCGCCTCTCTCGTGAGCTGTGTGTTCGTCTCTGCACCGTGCCACCGCTCTCCTCGCTGGACACCTCGCTCCATGCTGTTCCCACCTCCGCTTCTCGCTCCACTATCTCCCACCTTTTGTTCCCCACAATTGCCACCCCTACACACATCTCTCGCCTCTTAATTCACGCATCTCTCACCTATCATCTTCTTTACATCTCCAATTAGCACGGTTGACTACTTACGGTGCGAAAAAAATTCAACATACGTTCTGGCTACGTTCCCGCCCGCTATTGCTGATGGTCTAAGCAGGGCAGTGTCATACGCTACCTGCCCAAAGGACAGCGATTCTCTCGTCTCTCGCAGCTGTCACTGATCCCGGTGCGCATACACACAGCTCTTGTACCCCATGGAGACCTAGCCCCCTTGTGCCTAGTTCAAGTCTCATCCCTTGCACGTGCGGTTGATTGTCAACGCGAAGCTGTTTGCTTCTCTCGTCCATCGACAAGTGGAGTCACTCCTGTCTCTCCCACGTGCAGTGACTCCCTACCAGTCTCTTGGCAACTCGACCGGCCACACTGCGCCGTTGCTCGTGCGATACAAAGATCAATGTACAGTGAAACGAGCGACATTACAATGCAGTCCAGTACTGCGCATTGAGAGCAGTCCTCACAAAGCAGTGCAGTACCGTGCACCACAATCGCAACACAATACAGCGAATCGAGCCAGTCCATGAGTCATAAGTTAAAGAAATTGCGTGCTCTGTTGAGCTGAATATCACTGGGGATGTGTGCTCGTGCATTTAAGAAAAGTGTGGAGTGTTTATAGGACTCATGCGTGTCTTGAGTGGTTTTCAACATGTATGGAAATAACATTGAATATTGATTGTTGTGACCTTTTTTAATTTGAAGAAAATACATTTATGCAAGATTTGTTTTAATCTAATGGACATGCTGAGAATATAAGCATTACAAAAATAATAGGGGATAAAACCATGTCAATTGAGAAACTGGCTTATAGTCACTTAAGTAATTTGTTCATTCTGTGCGTGCATTCTACCATTGCACATCTTGTTTATTACCTTAAATTGATTGAATATAAACTGTCAGTTTAATATAATAATAGTACAGCAGTAGAACTCCTCTTATCCACGATGGAGTGGGGGCGGGTGGTGGGGAAACTCTGCAGATACGATCAGTAATCTACCCAGCAACCACCGGGAACCACCAGTCGATAGAAGGACCCTCTCCCAACTTCCCACTCTGGCTACTGTGGCTCCGTTTGTCAACGTGCCACGACGGGCTGGAGTCCGCCTGCCTCAGCAGCAGTCTTTGCAGCAGCAGCAGAAGAAGCAGAGGAAGCCCCAGCGGAGGCGGCGTGCGCTACGGCTCGACACCTTCTGGAAGTGCTTGGTGGAGGCGAGCACCTCCTGGCCCAGCGTCTCGCACTGCCGCAGCTCCGCCTGGCGCGTGGCGAGCAGTCGGAGGGATTTGTTTGCCACGTCCACCAAGAGCTCGTCCACCTGCGTCGTACGCAGACGGATCGTCCGCCACTGGTTTGCTCACACCTGGCTAGTCAAAGGTGTAAGCCAGTGATGTGCGGTGAGGGCAATGGCTGGGGAGGCACAAACTGAGGGGGGCATGTTAGACACGTCCCCCTCAGTGAGGCAGATGTGATAGCTGCCTCCCCTGGTGCTTTTTCATTGCAGTTTCATGACGAGACCAGCGAGCCTAAATATCTTTATACACATACGTGAAATAAGTTACCTGGAGTATGGAAGGTGAGGACATGAAATGAAGGGGTCTACAAACAATACATTGGTGACATACTGAGATAGTATCAGGCACGCGCTTATTGCCCGCGCTCCATCCAGTTACTGAGGAGTTGCGCAATCAGAGGGGATGCTGAGCTCGTCTCTTCCTGTATTTGCAGCGGAGCTCCGCAAATTTGTCGATTTTGACTAACATTTTTTGGAATTGTACAGAAATTACATAACAGATCAGTGGAAAAATCTTAATATTTATTTGATTATTCTTTTCTTTTATACTTTTGTAACAGCTATTTTCATTGGAGTATGACAGGTGAGGCGCTGCCTCCCCTGCATCCCCTGACTGCACGCCCCTGGTCGAAGCACGTGTAGTGACAGATACTGCAAGATCCGAACATGTCCGTCCAGTGCTCGCTGAGCTGCATTGGCCTCCTGTTGCCGAACGAATACATTGTAAGGTCGAACTCATTACAAAGTGCTTGAAACAAATTAACCACAATACATTGCTGATCTCGTCAAGGAGCATAAACAATCACGCAAACTTCAGTCATCCTTGCAGCGGCTTTTGGCTAGCCATTGAAAAAAAAGTCACTACATCACACGGCTTCAGATGCGCTTCTGCAGCCGTCTGGAACACTCTTCCGATATTAGGAAGCCACTGGAGCGATGCACTTTCAAATCTAGTTTGAAAGATAATTTCTTTAGAACTGCTTTTTGTGTTTAGTTTGTTGTCTTTTCCTCCGCACCTACGATTAGCACGGTTGGCTACGTACGGTGCGAAAAAAGTTCAACATAATATATTTCTTCCAGACAATAATAATTACAATTTACAGCCCTTTGTCAATCTGCTGCTGGATGAGGGCCTCTCCACACTGAGTCGGTCATGGGCAGGGGTTGGCAACCGAAATAACAAGAAGAGCCATTTTTTTGAATTCGGTAAAAAAAACCTCAGTATTTCAAGAGCCGCAATGCAATATGAATGCGAGACGGTCCTTAATAAATAACATCATGAAGCCGCAAGTCGCTCTGGAGTCGCAGGTTACCGACCCCTGGCCATGGGAGTTGTTTAACCCACACGTCATCACGCTCCTCAGTGCAGCTTTGGTGAAGGAGGCCTCCAGAACAGGCTCTGATATCACTCGCCAGTTATGTTTAGCCATGGTGGGGAAATTGAACTCGGGTCACCGGGTTCGTAGTGCAGTGTGCTAATTGCTATGCTGGACAATATCGTGGTGATAATAGTCCCTGCAATTACCACGAAAAATCTCCACTGACTTTGTTTTTAAAAAATTGAAATTTTGTCATCCCTTAGCAAGTGGGGTTGGGCGAAATTAAACTAAATTATTTTTTGTATTTTACGAGGTAAGGCCCCACTAAGCTATATAGCTTTTTTCAAAAGCAATCTGGCCACAAATGATAGCTCACAAAGTGGCTTTTCACGTGGAAATGTATAGCAGCCAAGTACTCTCAACACATGTAGAGTCCAAATGTGGAGGGAATATCCAAAGAAAAATCCACGCTACCACAGGGAGAAGATGCAAACTCCAAATATATAGGCGCCAGGATTGAGGATCGAACCCATGACCTCCTGTATACCAGGCGAGGTAGTTAACATCTCGCCACCGTGCCGCACCGGACCCTGTCCGTGATCTAACCAACTCTCACCGGGAACCATGAGCTAGGAGGAAACCCCAAACATTCACAGTGGTGATTGCGGCCCTGAGGCACGGTGCGTGAGGTGTGTGGCGAGGCCGAGCGCGTGGTTGGAGACACGAGGCCCTGCGTACTGCGTGGTAGGCATGTGCAGCACCTCGCTCTGAAGCTTGCTGACGGTCATAATTGACGGCCGCCTGCTGGGAGACTTCGTTCTTTTCTTGTCCCTGCTTTTCAGCAGCTTGCAGAATTGCTTCTTCTTGGATGGGTTGCCAGGACACTGCAGGAGTAATGTTTACAACATTTTACACATTTTTGTCAACACAGCACTGGAAAAGTGAATATTGTTTGGCAATTATTTTTAAGGTTAACCTACACTTTGTTCGTTCATTTATTCTAACAAAATAATAACTATCTCATTGATTGATGAAGATGGTTGTTAATCACCAGCGAAACGTCACGGTACTCAAATTATAAATGTTGTGGGTTTACTCTCGAACACACAGGTGTGCTGAACTAATAACTAATTGACATGTTTTGTGTACGGCACAAACCTTACTAATTGGCCGTGTCGGGTGTTGGTGGGTTTAACGACATTTATATTTATGAGCTCTAACTCCAAAAAAGCATTATTATGTATACTAGTGTCAAACAACACTTTTGCTTGAGCTAAAAGCTGACGCCCTGAAAATGGCCCTTCATTGTGCCTTCAAGTGGGAATCAGATCTCTCAAGTTTGAAGATAATCAACGCGTGAGAGTGGCCAGAGGACCATCAGTGAGGTGACAGCCTGCGGAAGGCATTGTCCGGTTCACATATTCGACAATGTCACGTATCTGCCCATACTACTTTATACTGGGAACTAGCCACTCATGAAAGGAAATGGTGTAAATACGATTATTCTTCGTGTGTAAATATATGCACACGCTTTCTCAATTGTGCTGTCTCATAGTGCCACGCACAGTGTGGATTATTTTGGCAGTTTTCAACTCCATAATATTAGAGAAAAATATGTAAGTAATACAGTAATGCAATGATCGTAGCCAAAATCTAAACACTCTGCGTGTGTAATGGTCAACCGTACGGTGTGTATCACCTGACCTTCTGCAGGCCTGTGGGAAGACTGGTGACCGAGACGCGCCGGGACATTCTCCGAGACTTGACCACGATTGAGTTGGTCAGCAGCTGGGCAGTTTCTGTGTCGACCGTGTCCACACAGACGGCCACAGCTGCGTACAAAAACAAAGATCCCCTGTATAGCCTTAACAGACTATTGGGGCAAGTGCTGTTAGCGAGCACCTATGAAGGCTGGCACGGCACACGAGGGGGTGGGTGACCAGCACCACGCCCGACCGTCTTTGTCTCCCTAGTGGCGAAATTTACACACCAGGTACTCATTTGAGGCTGAGTCGACCTAGGGGAGGCCCAGGACCGGTTAGCCGTGAGCGGGAATCGAACTCAGGTCACCGGGTTCGGAGTGCAGCGCACTAACCGCTACTCTTTCGCTCCCCGCTCTGTACTCACACACGCACACAAACGCCGATTACATGTTAACTGTTCATCCATTAAGTGTGAAGTATTATAATTAAATTGTCAACTTTACAGGTTATTGCCAACAATCGTTTCCACGCATTACAGTTTTACAGAGATATTTCAAACTGTTAGGAAAAGCAAGTGGGCTTGCGATCAGGACACGTCACTCGAAGGGACGACAGCCAATGGTCAAAAGTGACAGCCAAGGAATGGCGGCCAACGAAAAGTGCTTCACGTCAGATGTTGGAATGCCATGAAGGCCAACCTTGAGCAAAACCTTAAGAGATCTGCCAGAAATGGTGATGTGGCCACGATGACTTCTTGATATTTAAAATGTCAGCGTTACGCATAGCACACGTATCGACTGGGATGGCGACAAGAGTAGAGTTGTATGTATGTATATTGAACTTCGTTTGCACTTTACGTAGTTGGGTTTAACATTACGCTGATGTCCAACACTCAATATGCTCAGGAAGGGTGTACTGGTCCTGTCTGCACAATAATCAACAGATAAGTTTAAAACACATAGATGTGTTCTCCGTGGTGGTGTCAGGATTATGCAAACGAGAGAACGCTCAGAGTCACAAGTAGCTGAGGGACTACGGATTCATAACAAAGAAAAGGGTAATACCAATTATCAGTTCAAACTCCTCAGATCCTGAGAAAAATAAAAGCCCATATTTATATTAATACTGTTAATATAATTGTCTATTTGTCTATAATCTCAACAGTTGTAATATTAATTATGTAGCTTGTTCGTCTTATAAAATAAATGATGCTGACGTACCCCAATGGGCTGGCACTACCTCTGTATATTTGGTCCGGGTAACGACAATCAATAACGCCTCTTCTCCATAGTGATGCATATGCAACAATGAGGCCACAAACTCAAATACTGTGCACGCGCAATGGCCACACGCAATGTCTGGGGATATAAGCTCTGCATTTGGTGATGCATAAGTTACAGCTCAATGAGCAGACCTGCAAGGGGTCGATTTCGATGAATTTAGAAACATTGCAAGGTGGGAGCAGTCTCCAAATTTCCAAAAAAATAAACGGGCTTTACATTATGCAGGAGGTTGTGGGTTCGATCCCGACCCTGATGCCTGTGTATTTGTAGTTCGAATCCCGACCCTGATGCCTGTGTATTTGGAGTTCGATCCCGACCCTGATGCCTGTATATTTGGAGTTTGCATGTTTTCCTCGTTGTCGCGTATATATTTCTCCGGGTCCTCTGGTTTTCCCCATTTAGAAACACGCGTTCAGAGTATTTGGCTGCTATATATTTCCACGTGATAAGCCACTTCATTGAGTTATCATTTGTGGTCAGGTCGCTTATGAAAAAGAGCTGTGTAGCTCAGCGGGTTTTACCTGGTAAAATAAAATAGTTTAGTTAGTTTGCATTAACCACAAGCACTTGTGGCAAAATATGTTCTAATAATTGCTGCATTGTCTTTGAAACTGACTACATTATCAGAGCTCAGTGAGCGTTATCTGGTAAAAATGAAAAATAGTTAAAATAGTTTAATAGTAATAAAACAAATTAACATATTTTCTATGGTAAATATTAAAACGTACTAATTTTCGGATCCGCCGATTGCTTATACCTGCACGCCGCGGCTTGGCACCGCCGAGCGCCACGTGCTCCTTGATGCTGGGCAGCATGGAGGTGGAGGCTGAGGTTTGGATGCGCTGGTGCACGGACATCTTCCACCGCGGCCGCGGTGGCTGTAAAACTGTCCTCCTGTAAGGCCTGAGATGGCCGCGAGGCCTCGCTGAGCGTGCGATGGAGTCCGTCGACTTTGAGAACGCGTCGCTGGATGTGGAATCATCGTCGTCGTCGTCCGCGCTGTCTCCCGCGGTGTCGCGCGGATATGGCCTCAATAGCGTTGCTCTGTCATTAGCGTCCTCCTTGTTGGCCGACTGCTGGCGTGGCCGGAGCTTTCCCAGCTGTTTGGAGATGCGCTTCACGACACCGTCGTGTGCTGGAGGAGGCATCGCGTCCTCCACGCAGCACCTCCCGCTCGACTGTGACAGTTTAGGCTCCATCAGGTGCTTGCAAACCAGTTTCCGCCACCTGCAAAACAGTGTCCGATGAGCACAGCTGGGACCTCAGAGCCTAATGTGATGTTAGATATTACAGATTATGGAAATATTTAACATTGTATTATAATACAGCATTGTATACATTCAATGTTGTATGATAACTCTACAGAAGGTATAATTTACCACTATACTGAGCCAAGCATGTCTGTGTGTCCCGCGTGTGACGTCACTCAACGACGGCCAGCCCCCCTCATGAATAATCATGATCAGTATATTCTTTGGTTCTTTCAGTAAAGTCACGTAGATAGAAAAATAAAAATAAAGTGAATACAAATAAAAGTGATAAAAATACAATTAAAATAATAAAAAACAAAAAAGCATTAATGTAGACTGTAGCCTGTTTCTTAATCGGAGTTAGTGTATTGGCAGTCTATAATGTAGACTATAGCCTGGTTATTAAGTTTGGTGAGTGTACTGGCATTCTATAATGTAGACTGTAGCAATGGTTATTAAGCTGGGTGAGTGTACTGGCAGTCTATTATGTAGACTCTAGCCTGGTTTTTAACCGGAGTGTACTGGCAGTCTATAATGTATAAACTACCAGTACGCTCACTCAGGTTAAGAACCAGGCTACAGTCTACATAAATGTTTTATTGTTTTTTTTTCACGTTATTTGTATTATAATTTTTCTATCTACGTGATTATATATAACCTTTTGATAAAATAAGTCTGTATCACCGCGTCTTTGCAAATTGCACACGAATTGATGCAATGAATATCACGTCGCGGTCTGTGTGGTGCCACGACCGCAGAGCAACTCCGCAAGCACCGCGATTCCCTCCCGGCCCCTGCACTAAAACACACACCCGCACACAGCGCACTCACGTAGTGTCCTGGCGGGGGGTTGCCTGGCACATCGGGTTTTAATCCGAAGGGCCCCTCGAGGGAAAGTCCCACGGTTTTCCGGTGCCAGGAGATTGTCCGACCCTCGCAGGGCAGGTTACATTGCGATGCCCATAAAATTTGTTTAAATTGTATGGGAGAAAAAAGAAAATGTTCCCCTAGCCAACCGCAATGCGGTACAACTCGGGGGGGGGGGGGGGGGGGGAATGGAGGACGGAACCCTGAGCAAGAAGGGCGCAAGACAAAGGGACAATGGGTGGCCGCCGCCCGCTGGGCGCGGGTAAGCACATGATGGCATCCCGGGCCTTTGAAGTTAAGGATATAAAAAGAGTAGCCCGGGACGATTTTGGTAAATTTCCTTCAACCTCCGTGCACGCCACCGCGTTCGTTTTTGTGGTGGTGTACGTGGGCGTGTGCGAGATAACCCCGGGCGGTGGTGAGCCAGCCGATTAGCTATGTCGCTCAGAGAAGGCGCTGGTGCGGGGGGGCGATCACCCGATCGGCGGGGGCCCGGCGAGAGGCGGCCGACGAGGACGAGGGGGGAGTGGAGGGGGTGGACGTCGGACCCCAAATCTGCTTTTCGCTTGCAAGTTTCAGATTTACTGAAATACACCCGTCCTTGGACGGGCTAAAGGCTAGTTACGTATAATTGCCATTTTGCGATACAGTATATATTTTGTCATGATACAATATAAATGTTGACAATATCACAATTATCGCGATATTTCCCCTTCGATATTTAATTGTTTCACAATTTTATTGTATTGGTGTTCTGCTTTGCGGTGCTTCAAGTAAAAAAAAAAGTTATTTAAAGAAAGACTCTCCAACTGCACTTCACTCAACATGAGCCTGCCTTGAGTCTACTCATTACCGAGAGCAGTGGTTCTCAACCGGGGGTGAGGCGGACCCCTGGCAGTACACGTGGCAATGTCTTTGGGGGTACGTGAGGTGATTTGTAAATGTGTGAAATGATAGCATACATGATAGCCAATGGTGAATAATTATGTTACATGTATCTGCCAATATAAAATGACTACGGCAAATGTTCATCCATATGGTAACCTTGAATGATATAAAATACCTTTCTAAGCTCATTGATCGTAAACAATGCGGTTTCCAAGAGTAGCCAGCTAACACGAACAAATTAGGTTATGCATGCAGAGCGTCCGTTGAATTGTTTTGTATTCGCTTGCAGTGACTAGCTCGTTGGAATATACTGTACAAAATGGACAATTGATTAAAATACTGAAGCTCATTATTCGTAAATTTATTTCCCAGAACCATGTTGGGTCAAGGGGGTGCTTGGTTAGGGGGGTACAGCAGTCGCCAAAAAATGTTGAGAACCACTGCTTCAAAGGTTACCATGCACATGCGGTCAGTTACAGGAATAAGTCATTGAACAATTAAATGAACCATGGAAACGATGTAACACAGTTGCCATGCTGTCCATAACTCTATTCTTTTTTTGCAAAGCATTAAATTAATCGGATAAGTTATTGTCTTAAAATGTTGTTTGCCCTAGGTTATGTTCGCGGTTGCGGGTTCAATAAAAAACATTTGAAGAAAAAGCCTTTGCACTGGATTGAAGTGACTCCTGTCTTCCTTGGTAATGTTATGTTATTACACCACATCACGCACACGCTACCAGCTGGATTTGAGGTGAGAGGTTTGTTTTCACACACAGTTGTTACAGTACTCATGGCTTTAATAATCGTAATAATAACTTAATGTCACTGGGTAGATCTATAGGCATTGAAGGTGGTTGGAATTCCTTGCTGCTGTTTTAGTGTCGTGTTCAAAGTTTTCAATGGTTGAATTAAGTGCAGTACATGTCGTGTATTTCTCCATAATTATTATAGTACGGGCCGGTAAATTCAGGAGTGCAGTTGGTTTCTTGCACAGTAATTCACGTCGTAGGAGCAGTTTCTCAGGGCACGTGTCCCCACCAGCAGTGCAGTGAGAGAGGGAGCTGCAGGTGTCCCCGTGGTGGTCAACCCAGCACCACGAGGAGTGGGGCCCCTGTCGAGTAGAACCCATAGCACCTAGGCCCCACCTCTTAACAGGAGCCTCTGAATCTATGTTGTTTCACTCCTCTCGGCACATTTCCTCAGCCCCCCAGAGTTCCTTATATCTCAGTGGTTCTCAACCTTGTTTTGCTACTGCTGTACCCTCTTTGTTGAATATTGTTTCAACCATGTATCCCCCTTGCCTGACCCAACATGGTTCTGAGACATGGATGTACGAATAATAAACATCACCAGTTTAACTAATTGTCCATTTTGTGTGGTATATCCTAACCAGCTAGCCACTGCAAGCGAATACAAAAATATTCAATGGACGCTCTGCACGCAGGACATAATTTGTTCACGCTAACTGATTACTTTTGCAAACCACATTCATTATAATCAATGAGTTTAGAAATTATTTTTATATCGCTCTAGGTAACCATATAGATGTTAAATGTATCAGTTATTCTATATTGGCAAATTCATACATGATTATTCGCCAATTACTCATTTATGATATAATCTGACATATTTATAAATCACCTCACGTACCCCCTGGGGCATTGGCACATAACGCCCAGGGGTCCCCGTACCCCCTGTTGAGAACCACTGCTCTATCCCATCCAGCAACTCGGTCAACCTGACGCTTGGTTTGGCTGTGTGTGCGCGTGTTCTCCGTTTGAAATTGAACTTAGAACATAGCACGTTGCTGATGGGGTTCTGCAGACCGCACCCGTGTGTTAAATGCAGGCATGTGGGTGTCGTTAAAAGTCCGTTGGAATATTTCTTGCGGCTGTGAACTGTGGCGCTTGAGTAAAAATTGCTCTTGTAAATTGTAGTGTCAGATAGAGGTACGAACAATTAGAGCCCTGGTGAAAATCTCCATGTGAAGCCACCATGTGGAAACATTTACAGACATTCCAGCGGCTTTCCTTATACGTACAGCCATAGGTAAACATGCAGCCCTGGACACTGATTGTCACTCATTGGCGTAGCGACTACATTATAATTATAATAAAGCTGCTAATTATCAGCTCAGGGGGTGCGGTAATCAGTATTTGTCTCGCACGGTAGCACCGAGGCTATTCTACATCGCGGGCTCCTCTTGCCCAATCACAGCATCAGATAAGTTTCTGTTATTTACACCGTTGTTGAAAACATATCTCATGGTGGTTGTCAAGGGGGCCCCAACTCGTATCCTTGGCCACCAAGGGGGGGGGGGGGGGTCAAGGCACCCCTGCCCCCACGCTCCTTACGCCACTGTTAATGTCACGCCATTGCTGCCAGAAGGGCATCCGCTAGAGTTGGGGTCGCCAATATGCGGCTCCGGAGCCGCATGCAGCATGTTGGCTTCCCCTTTGCGTCTCTTTGGCTGCCCCCTTGTGGGAAAGAGTAAAAAAACGCAAAACTTAAAACATAACGTAAAGATAACGTTATCAAATATGACAAGGAATTGGTCACTATGGAATGTCTTGGTGACAACAAAATGTACAACAGTCAAATTGTAGAAAATTTAAGGGGGAAAATTTTTAAATAGACGTTAATTTAAGTCAGAATTTTTCATCTGCTGTATACCTGCTGCTGTGTTTGTGTACAAGTAGCTCTGCGTGTGATGCTGCTCTCGAACTATTTTGGTCAAAGACAAAACTAAATATTTCTTCTTACTCTTTGGTTCTTTCGGTAAAGTCACGTAGGTATTTATTTTATACCTACGTGACTTCACCGAAAGAACCAAAGAGTATGGATTCCTGCAGTCACGAAAGCTTCAAATCAAGATATCTCTTCTTCTTTGAAAGGTTTCCGACCCCTGTACTAGAGGGCAGAGGTGGGAGTACCCACACTTTACCCCACCTCATGAGGCCTTCTAATCGACAGACTGTAATGCTTCCCGTTTATACTGCCACCACGGCGTCAAACACGTACAGTGCTCACCTTTCCATGCTTCTCTTTCCATAAATCATAAATAATCGATTCCCACATGTATGCTGAGGCTATTTATGTAGGAATCACGGGGTAAGAATATTATTTAAATCGATACAAGTACAGCCGTTCACATGTGTATTCCAAAGTCACTAAAAAAATTATAGTAATGTTTTTTTTAAATGCCCTTAAACTGAATCATAATTTTAAGAAAAATGTGTACGCCTTTATTGTTTAGGTTTTTTTTTATTTTGTTGTGGATATTAGCATGAAACAAAATAATTATGTGCAACCTAGCTATAGTATATTATTTGATTATTATTTTTCAAAATACAGCTACAAGTGGCAGTGCGTCTTCATGTCCCATAATAGCAGGCTAAACGCTAATTCTAATCCCATAGCACGCAGCACTTCACATCCGTAAATGACGAGAAACCCCATATTAACCGAAATTAACATCGTACAAGCCAGAAAACAAATCGCTCATTTCGCCTAATACAACGTGCATCACATGTACAAAACTCACATTTGTTTCAATGTATGTATTAATGGTGGCTTAAGGACACGATGACAACACAATGCAGTTCTTCAGGAACTGGTGGTTTTTGCGTAATGTGTAAGGATAAGAGCTTTTTAAACACATTTGCTATGATGGTAAAACTGTTCTCTCGAACTGTAAGTTGAAGCTGTATCATTTGTATGAACACGAATAATTTATTTGTGATTATGAGCAATTTTAGTAAAATATATTTTAAATGCCCATTAATCACGGTTTACAATGTTGATACACATTTTCAAACTCATATCGGTTATGTTTAAGTAGTGATTTACATTACGAGCAATCATAATGTTAAGATGGTAACAACTTTCTCTCATCGCATTGACACACATATATAAACGTGCAGAGCAATACACATTTGTTTTACCTTTTAACTGAGAAACGAATGTCGCTGCCACCCTGGAGTAACGGTCAGCACGCTGGACTTGCAACACAGAGGTCGCCAGATCGATCCCATCGTGGCGGTCGAAGCAACGGGGGCAAGTTTCTTAAATATGCGCTTCCTCTGTCCACCCAGCGTTGTTGGTACGCCCACCTCTTGCAAGACCTCCCGCCACCGTGGAAGAGTAGACCAAATTTCCACACTAGAGCTCCATCTAGTGGAGGCATTTCTACCAGCAGTGGTGCGAGTGAGCAAGTAAATCAATTGAAGAGCTGCCCGTTTCCCTTTCAATTGACAAAGGGATGCACATTAGTTGGTAAAAATAAAACATTCCACTGGAAACGATTACCAGTTCCCATAACTTTTGGTAACCCATGATCTGAAAACGGTTACCTGTTTACTGGTCACTGTTTCACGTTAAAAGCGAATGGCTTTGCTAACTGAAGAGGAAAGAGACGTCTGTGTTACTCCTATCGACGTGTGTACCGTAACAGACTCTAACACATGTCTAGTCTAATAAACTCATCTGCATACAAGAAATATAGGTATGGTAAGTACTGCAGTGGAAAGTATGTTGAACATCTTTCGCACCATATGCAGCCAATCGTGCTAATCCTATGTGCGGGGAATGTATCGGGCGCGTAAGCACGCTTACCTGGTGGCACCTTTTTCTCGGTGTGGTGTTGAGGTCCGCTGCTGCTGGTGAAGTTCATCCATGGCCAGTGAATTTAGAACACTGGTTGTACTGTGCTGTTTAGAGGCCCAACGTTGACCCTTCTGCATCGAACCCTCGGTGCTGCTGCTTAACACCTGGACTGTCACCGGCAGGCCTGCCTGCTATAGAACATCAGGAGTTGTGCTCGGCACGAAGTAGTCTCGACTGGCTCTGGAAGGGACTTTATTCCTTGTGTTTGATTTCAGCTGTTTACTTGTGTCCCATATAAAAAAATTGGCCACAGTCTATTTGCAGACTGCCACATAATTGATTTGCACATTACGTGGGAATGATAAATGTATTTGCACTGGCGTAGATTTTCAGGTATGAATACATAAGTAGTGTTGGAGATGCGGCCGCTGATAGATTCCACGTCTCTCTGTCGTTAATTGACGTATTGGTGTCAGGCACCATAAAAAGGGACTTGTCATCCGCACGGCATGGCATTTACTCAGGCACGGGGTTATACGGCGTAGCAGAGGGTGTGCATGTCTTTATAACTTTGTTTTCTGTGTTTTTATGTATATATTTTGTGCAAATTGCAGTTGCTTGACAAAGAATAAACATATCATGAATGCAGTATGATGTATATCATACATTGCACAACTGCAATACATTGCATGACTGCAATGTATGACATACATATCACCTCTGATTAGCACGGTTGATTACGTACGGTGCAAAAGACGTCCAAAATACATACAACTGTGAGTACATGTCTAACAACGAGTCATGTTGCTATGTTACAATGAAATATACTCGGATCAGACGAGTTACCCTTTTCAGGCTGACCAAGGAGTTGCCTAAGAACACAGCCAAAGAGCGACCCACCCATGTCACCGTGCAACAGCACTGCTTGCTCCTGCAGTGAACCAGGCTGAAGTGCACCTTGTCTAGACAAGAATCGACCACACGCGTGGTGAGCTAAACTGTGGGTCCTCTCGCCTCTTTAAATACTTCTGGCCAGCGTGGAAGAGCAGGTCCAACGCCCCTATATATGGTCGGCTCTTTTGAACTCCCTCTAGGTGGAGGCCCTCCCTTCCGCCAGCATTGGAGAGAAATAAATTGCTGGGCTGCACCTCTACATTTCACCTTTATCCTGCTAGATTTGTCCCCGCCACAGAAATGTGGATATTCTATCATTGGCTCAGGGCTGTAAACAGTTGATTGGCACCGCCTCAATGCTCGTTTGAGCAGGAAATTACTTTGACTTGAGTGAGTGGGTAAATGTCCATGTACAGGATACAGTGTTACACTTGTCACCACTGAGTCAACATTTTCAGCTCATCTGTTAATCCCATTCATAGTGCAGGGCACAAACATATGATGGGGACTGGACATTGTAGTGAATGTTTTCAGATGACCAACGAAAAAATTGAGAGGAAGTGTGGAAAGGCTGTTAAAAGAAACAAAATTAAACATTTCACTAATAGCCACTCCAAATTGTTAACAATGTAACGAATGTTATTGCACAAAAAAATACCCCCCACTCTTTGATCCGTGGTACTTTGGACCCTGCTTCGTGAGCTGGTTGCTGGTATGTCTCGAGGAGGTGTAAAACTCTGCATTGGTTGAACTGCACCGACATTTGGACTTCATTGCATGTCTGGGCTATAGCAGCAAAATCCCTCCTTTCACGCGTTGCTTAGTACCCTGAGAATTCCATGTGTAGGACTCGTACTCGGATTGTCTTTCTCGTCCCGTTTATTTGCTCAAGGTCCACACCTTCTCCTCATCACCCCTCCGTGGCCACCCTTTCGCTCCGCCACGCCATCCGCCATCAACACGCTTTATGTCCCTCTGTTCTCTCACCAGTTCTCCCAGGGTCCGTCGCTCCGCTGCTACCCTGCTTCGTATCTTCCCTGATGCACTGCTACCACTGCTACCACTCACTCTGTCTCCTCTATCCGTTGCTACCGTGCTTGATCTATCTCTCTCTCCTGCTACCGTACTCTGCCTTATCTCTCTCCACTGTTACTCTTATCGTATCTCTTTCCTCCTGCCCTCTGCTATTCCGGGCACCGTCACTCCAACTCTTCTCCAGCTCTAACAAGACTCCAGCTTTCCCAAGACTCTAACCAAGACTCCTATCGTATCTCCCTACTTACTCCTGCTCTCTTTCCCAGCACCATCACTCCAGCTCCCCATCACTCCAGCTCCCACCAAGGTTCCAGCTTCCACCAAGACTATCCCAAAAGCTGCCGTCTCTCTGTTGCGCTATCCTTTTATATCCACCCCAATTAGTCCCTATTAATTATCTCACCCCCCGATTACCCCTCGGCCCCCAGGCCTCCAGCCTCACGTGACTTTGTTATTGCCGCCAGAGCGGCGCCACTCATTTAGCACTTATCCTCTAAACCAATCACCGGCCTGTGTCCCCGGTTGCCCTTAACACCTGTTACGCCACTTAACGCTTCTCCTCTCACGCCTCAGCAACAACAACCTCGTCCTCAAATACCTCCACTGTCCACTTGCTTGTCTGCCTAGCAACAGACCCACAGAGCGCGTGGCGCGTGTATTTCAGGTCCTACACATGCAACGGCCCCAACTTCCTGTTTTTAAATGGCACCTGGTAAATAAAAACATTTAATAATTCTAGATAAGTTTGTTTCAAAGTTAAAAAACTTAAAAGTTAAACAAACTCAATAGCTTTAAGCATGTTAAAACATTTGTAATTAATTTAAGTTTTTAAAATATTATTTTGAATCAATTCAGATATTACGCACTGGCCCACGGAAGCGGATATCATAGAGCTACTTATGGCATCCCTTCAAGTGACCACTGGTTCACACAGTAGGTGGCAGCACTTTCCCACTCGCGCTGCCGTAAAGCGTGGGCATATTGCCGTGCCCATGATGATGATGAGAGCGATTGTGAAGATGGTAAAGGATGTTGTTGGTTGTCTTGCCAATGTTTTGCGTTCTCAGGTCACATGCTACCTATACGCAGCGCTCTGATTCAGTAGCACTTCTTAATTCCATTGGCACTTAACTCAAAGCTTTCGTGACTGCAGGAATTCATATTCTTGGGTCTTTCAGTCAAGATACGTAGATTTGTTCACTATCTACGTGACTTTACCGAAAGACCCAAGAATATCCATTGGCACTGTGGGAGTTGTTTCATACCGATTTGAGGCACACTATCCAGTCAATACTCACGGTGATGGATGATGAATAATATGATAATGGCTGACGATGGATGAAAATTATGATGTCGGAAGATGAATATAGAAATGTGATAAATGTTCCATGTATGTATTGAATAGCTAATTGCATATAGCAGACCTTTCTGAAAACAGACCTTACCGTTACATGTTTCTGTGGATGAGGAGTTTTTTCGTGGTGTTTGATAAGATGGAAGGTCCCTGTTACCCAGGTATTATATTACCTATGACAACGCTTCCCTGTGCTTTATCACAGATAACAGGCCGTCCCTTAATTGGTGATTCAATGCAACCAAATGTAAGCTAAAGCATTGTTGACAGGAGTAATTTCTATTTAAATGAATTTATCTCACAATATGGAATCACACTTTGGCTCAATATTGTAAATTTTTGGTTATACTTGTTTAATTTATCTTATTTAAAGTGTTTAGACAGCATGCCTGTCACTATGATGGGCAATGAGGAAGATCTAGTGGTATCTACAGTGCACAGCCCTGCACAAAAACATCACTCGTGACACCCTACGGGCGTTAGTTTTGGCACCTGTGCTTGTGTGTGACATTGGTGAACACAGCAAGGAAAGAGCTGCATAGGTTTTCAACCAGATGCTTAAATATGTGGACCACCCGAGACAAATAAAGAGTAATTTGAGAGAGGGAGGCTGTGGCTCATTATATCTCGCGAAGGATCGCTTCGCTGTACAAAATAGTTCCACGATTCAGTTAGCAAGTGCTCGTTCGCAGGTCGATGGTTCGTCAGTGTGATATTCGTAAGTCGAGGACTGCCTGCACCTGGTGCCGTGTGTAAACATTTCCACTGGGGAGTCAAAGGTGTTATGCTGGCAACCCACTCCCTCGTGTACCTTGCTGATGCTGGCCTCCATAGGCACTGCTCACTCACAGCACTTGTCCCAACAGTCTGTTAAGGCGATGCGGGAGATTGTTGTTGTGTGTTCGTGCGCGCGAGTGCCCCCGCGTGTGTGTGTGTGCAATTGCAGGTAAGTGAAAATATGACGGATTTTTTCTCTCCGCTGTTGCTTTATTTTGTTTTATTTACGATACAGTATTTTTAACAGTGTTTCATGAAAATTTAATTTTTTTTTTGAATTGTGATTTTAACAATGCTTCCATGTTTTTTAACCGTAATGCATTTCATAACACTGGCCGTATTGGGATTTAAATACAGTACATTACTGTGTTCCGAGTTACGAACCATTCAAACTTACGAACGTGTGTCAGGAACGGAACTCGTTCATAAGTCGATGACTGCCGTATATGAATACATCTTAAATTGAGTCCATGTCGTAGGTCTCTTCTTCCTTCTGCTCGAGGCTTGTGCGTGTGTGCAGGTGGCGTGCGTCGCACACACACTCAGTCGGAGACGAGGTAATCGCAGGAGGCACCGTCCTCCCCTTTTATTGTTGTTGAGTTCACTCCACCAACTCCGGCCCCCTCTCTTGCGACCACACTGCCGTACATTCAGGCCTAGACACGACCCTGCTTGTGTTGCACCGATGGCGTCGACCGAGACAGCCAACTATTGTCCAGCCGTGCAATGCCCGGGCGAAGGCGGCAGCGACGAAGGGGGTGTCTTGCCTCACGGCAGATGGGGAGCGTACGTTAACAGGAAGTTCCTGTTTTTTTATGCTAATGTTGGTCACGTGACCAGGAAGTGACGATGTTAGATTTCCACTGTACCACGCGGGCTTCAGCCATTACTCAGATAAGTCAAGATGGCGGCACGCATCGCATCTCAGTGAGACCACAGCCGCACTTATCCATTGTGGGAGCTTAAGAAGCATTATCTGTAAGTTGTTTATATTCCTCTAATATTGGAAATGCTGTTGTAATGTTGGAATGACCGTTATAGCAATGTAAATGCCTTTTTGGTGCCATTAAGTTATTGTAGTAAATACGAGGCCTAGTTAGTAACGAAGCCTGTGACTTTCCTTATTGTGGATGTTACTTGTGATTTAGTAGGTCGAGTCAGACTTGTGCCTATGTTGCGATCCTGAGAGTGATGACGAAGTATCTCATCCACAGTTCAGTGTTAAGTGTAATGCTGTACATTTGGGGTGCAGTGGGATGAATACACTGTGCCTGTATGCAACGCATCAGCTTGTGCCTTTGTCTAGTTGTTCAGGGGTAATGTGGGGGCCTGGTCCTTCCAGGATCTATTGTTATCTGAGACAATGTTCTGATGCTGTGGTGTTCATTGTGTGGGTGTTTCCGAATTATAACAGATGCTGTATCTGTGTTTTCTCACCAGTGTTACCTGTTACAATCAATAAATGACGATCGGAGTTGGACGGTCATCCTGGCTTCGAGGGTTTATTGAACACATGGTTGTCTACTCGACTAGCGGTGCAACGCAGCGCACAGCGAGGCCGAGATAGGGGGCAACAACGACAGCGGCGACGAGACGAGTCCACTCTTATAACCGGCAGCCTGGAGCTCCCGCTCTCTGCTGCTTATTCCCCTGCCTGCCTTTTCGAACCCACCAGAGGGTTCCAGGGGCTTCCCCACGAGGTCTACCGTGACCCTTTACCCAGTTCCTCCGCCCTGCCGGCACATCCGCGTATATGCTCAACGGCATGTGCGCCAAGTGCTCACCTGCAGTTGCAGCTGTTGTACAACAGTTAATGCTATGTCACTACATCACCCCCCACCCCTCCATTAAAGAAAGAGCCGTCCTGGCTGTAAATATAGCAGCAGCAACTGGTAGGCAGGCAGGGCAACTCCCTTAACTCGAGGAACATCAACGAAAAAATAAAGAAAATACTTCCCCAAAATCCCATTACAACCGCGGCGTCCCCCACAATCAACAGCACATCTCACGACTTTCTGGTGCCCCCCCCCCCCCGATAACAAACCAACACTCACCCCAATGCAACGTTCCCGATCTCTCGAATCGACAAACTCTGCTGCACGGCACCCCCACCGCGAATCGGCAACTCTCCCACAGGCCCCCCATCCGCGAATAGGTGACACCCACACACAACGCAGCACCCCCCACAACTGACACAACTCAATTTCCCTTTAACCCAGGCCCTTAGCCCCAACACCCCCTCACCCTCAGATCCCCTCTTAGTGCAAGGGAAAGTCTCCCCATCTCGGGACGTGATCCGGTCCACAGCGCCGGTCACCCCCATCTCAGCAGGGTCCTGCAGCTCCGGACCCTAGAGGGCCAAGAGACGATGGAGACGGAGTCCTCGGCTCAAAGTAGCATCATTTTGGGTTTATATACTTGTGACAACATGTTCTGGATTCAAAGAATAATGACAGCAGACTCGTGTCTGAGATCAGCCATGTTCAGAGACAATGACATCATGCAATCCGATGACATCAAGCTGCAACACAATGACACAATACACAAGTACTGCAGGACATTCTGGATTTGAAGCTTTCGTGACTTCAAGGATTCATATTCTTAGGTTTCTCGGTAAAGTCACGTAGGTAAAAATTTAAATTAATAAAAGTAAAATAAAAAATAAAATTAAAATCACGACGTTTCGGAGGCAACACAAGCTTCCGTCTTCAGGTGGAACCGTCACAGCACGATTGCTGTATTAGCAATCTTCCTCCGAAACGTCGTGATTTTTTATTTTATTTTTTATTTTACTTTATTAATTTTAATTTTTTACCTACGTGACTTTACCGAAAAACCTAAGAATACTGCAGGAACGTTTTCATATGCTGAATAAGTGAGGAAAAGATGCAGAATTGAGGATGAACATGGAAAAGACAAAGACGATGGTGTTCGGAAGGGCAGATATTTGGAAATAAGTAATACTAGAAAGCAGAAAGAGTGTGAATGTAAAGGAATTTGGGAAGTCGACTGACATGGGCCAGTGACTGCACGAAAGACATAAGAGCAAGGATCGCAAAGGCAACGTACTAATGACAGAATTCAATAACATGTAGAGAAGCAAGCAAATCAGCTACAAGACCAAACTGAACATCGTAAGAACATGTGTGTTCAGTACAACGTTGTATGGCTGCAGGACTTTTACATTGAAAAAGACTGACAGAAATATTAGCATTCAAAATGTATTATTATATAAGGATCCTGCATCTAAACTAGATCCAAAGAGTGACCAAAGTTGAAAGTCAGATAAAGGTTGCACATAGAAGAAGACCTGATGAAAGCAGTGATGAGAAGGAAACTGACACTATTTGTACACATGTAGGATGGACAACAACAGAGACATTAAAAGTGTGTTATTCGGGAAAAATGGAAGTAGCCGGCAAAAGAAGACCTAAAAAAGAATGGCTTGATGATATATGATATTGATTCCAGAAAAATGTACACTTCTTGAGCATATTGGCACAAGCTAAAGGAAAATGAAAATAAATGACGAAAGGTGCAGTGGAGACCTACTGGCTATCAGCCCATGAATCATGATGAACACCTGTATTATTGCCGGTAAAGCCTATATTTTCATCCCAAAGATATATCTGTTCAACCTAAGCACTGAATGCTTTGAAATTTGCATTCCCTTTGTAATGGTCGGCTTTTGGCGTTCTCTGGCCTATCATTGGTGAGACACAGCCATAAAGGTTTCTGGTGTCACCAATCAGTTACAAAGATAATGCATACATTATTATGTTGCAATACGTGTGTATTTGGTGTTTGAACATCATAACACTTATACTCTTACGTTGGACCACGTTTTTGTATGCCCACTGTACCCAAAGGCTCAGTTTTGGCTCTGGCCTTTTCTTGCTACTTTTTCGCATGAGGCTTCGATTCCATTTCCACGATCTCCAGCTTCGGAACCATTAGGCGTCGTTGGAGCCTGCAATGTAAACACGAAATAGTGTCTATGTCAACCTATTCATTTCTACGTAAGCCTATTGATCTCTGATTATACGGTGCGAAAGCTTATGTATCTCTATCTAATCCTAAGGATATATGTAAGCTTATGGATCTATTTATATTAAACTAAACATATGACTCTTGTGATCACGTCTTGCTTCCCAGCATTCATTCATCATCCCACTCGTCTCTTTATGTACCTTTTTAGTTTTTATCAGTGGTGAAAGCCACGAGTTGTGTGTGTGTGCGGGTTTAATCAAAGACAGGCTCACAGCCATCAACACCAGTAACGATTATATTATCTGAGCCAGTCCTGGGTCACCCGTAGGTTGACTCACCCTCAAATGAGTGTCATACCTTGTGCGATATGTAAAACATTGTCAAAAGAGAGACAAAGGCGGTCGTGTTGGTAACGATTATTTGAACCAGTCCTGGGTCTCCCCTAGATCGACTCAGACATAAATGTGTACCTGGTGCAACATGTAAATATCGCCAAACGGGAGACAAAGGCGGCCAAGCAGACTTGATGCCTTGTGATGTTTAAACATCTTAACGCCTGTTTTATTGCCAGAAGGGGTAAAACCTATTCTATCTATATATATAAAAGAGACATTTGTGAATATGTGTGTCTGTTCGAAATGTTTAGCATTCTTCCCAACATGCAACAAACTTGAAATTTGGCATGTGGGTAGCTTCCAGACTGTACACAAGCAAAAAGTATAAAAATAGACATTTGTATTTTGGTGGGGGGCGCAATAATGTATATATTTTGCACGGAAAGTGAGCAGTGACGTCACATCTGTGACATCTGTGACGTCACATCTGTGATGTCACCCGCATGCGGAAACATTACGTAGTGTGCCTGCTGACGTCACGCACCCCCCCAACCCTCCGCGTAGGTCGTGTATTAATCCAAGACAAGAATCCAAGTCTCGGGCGAAGCCGGGTAGTAAAGCTAGATTAATAATAAATAAAGAGCGCAAAACAACGTCATTACATTTTATGAACAATAAATAATATAAACACCAAATAATGTCCAACTTTAACAATGCAACAAAGCAATGTCAAATGCCACTTTCACATTTAATCAACTTTACCGTATAAAATTACGAATACAAATATTGTATTTCATCAGGCTTAATAATCACATTGCCATTACTCATTGATGCTTGGCTTTTCCGAACATTACATGATACGATTTGCAGTATGCATGCTGCTCTCAGCAAATGTAGGTTTAAATTCCAAATGTTTTACTTGCACCACAAGTCTACACTGCATCACGCCACTGCAGTAGTCACTACTCTACTAGTGTACTATAGTTATAATGTAGTACACTACAGTCAGACAGCATTTTTTAAATTAGCAGCATTAAATACTGGTGTGACACACGTTTATCTGTGTTCCACCTTAGGGCATGTGTACATTGGATGCAATTCTGGCCTCCATATGTGCTCGCTAATAGCGCTTGGCCCAATAGGGGGGATCTTTGTATGCCCTGTGTAGACCTTTCGATGTTCCTCTGCTTATCTTTCGTGACATAAACTGTAAAACAGACCTTGGAATTTGGAACAGCCACAGATTAGCTTTCATTTTGACTGGGTCAACTGATATTTGCTGTTGATAGTCCACTCCAGTTTTTTATTCTACAAGTCATCATTTGAGGGATCTTCAGGATATTGGAATGCGAGAGTGTAGCTCCCTCGCTTGGGGAAGTAATTGGAGGCAAACTTGACACTCCAAATGAGTGCGATGATGAGGAGTACTGCAGCCAGCAGGGACAGGAAAATTACCAAGCTTTTGTTACTCTGCGCGCACACACCAACAAGAGAAAAACACATTTCTTATCATATATCACAGTCACACCATGGACATACATATGGATTAACAGATACACATAGACATTGTAAGAGTGAGATGTATAATGCCGCCACGGTATATGGGTAAAACAAATAGATAATGCATTCAAAGGAGCGTTACATGGACTCAATTTAAGATGAATTCATTTATGTATTGTATTCAGTGAAAATATATGAAGAGTAAGGTTATCTTCCAGGTTTTCTCGAGGCACTCATTGATGCAAAATGCACTTTAAAAAATATTGCAAGGTGCAGTCAATGTTTTGTCAACAATGGAAGATATTGAGGAATGACTGCGAGCAGGTTTTGGCTCCAGTTCCTAAAGAAGCCACCAGCTCAAGGAGCAAAACATCAGACATCATGCCAAACAACTTGTGGTACGACCCGAGAACATATAACGTAACTATTTTCATGCACAGGATAATTTGGGAATACATTTTTTAAATTCAATTTGAATTCCTATCTCGTCAAAATACAAATGACAACTTCCTGTAGGGAACCCTTTAGAGCAGTGGTTCTTAACCTTGGGTACACGCACCCCCTTGGAGGTACGAGATGCTCTTTCTGGGGGTGCGAGACATGGACATATTTTTTAAAAGTAAATCACCGAAAACCAAATTAAGTTCGGACAGATAAGTACAACTACTTTATTTCATCAAACCTATGTATTTCTTAACATTATAAAAAAACGTTTACGATTGAGAACTAAAGGGGTGCAAGGCTGCAGTAAAGGTGAAGAACCATTGCTTTAGAGGGAATGTAAAATGGCCCTTACTGTAGCTGTGAACTGGTAGGAGGTAACACTGGTGGGCTTTGGCTGGGCACAGTCTATGCCAACAACATCAGAACTAGGGCAATGACATGGGCCAGCAGTAGCCGAGTGGTTAGCGCATTCAAAAAGAGTCCGTCATTGTGTGCTTGCGTCTCGGTCCAATTTTCAAAATTTGAAAAATGACCCAAAAATAACACACATAGCAAGATCACTCCCTACTGGCGGACTATATCCATCTCTGAAACGTAACGCCTCTGTGAAAGCCACGCACTATAATAATGACACGAATACTAAATTTACTCAATTATAATACTTAAAATTATAAGAACACTTCTTGTGCGCCTTGCAGATTCAGACATTCCAAGTCAGCCAGCTCCCGTTCACAGGGCCCCTGGGCTCACTATTCACGCTCTCCTCTCCCCCTCAAGGTGATGCAGTACGAATCACCTACGGCTGAGGATGCAGCCTCATTGCAAAGACAGTGGTGTCCCAGTAGGCAGCGTCATGGAGCAGAGTCGTGGGAACGTGGCCCTCAAGGCTGAATGCTCAGCTGACAGTGACCGTGGTCAGCCAGTGTGCCTGTGATGTCATAATGTGGCTGTGATGTCATGACGTTGCTAGCTCTGCCTCCTAATCAGCCGGGCAGGAACGCTGTTGAGTGCTGGAGGCCACGATAGACGAAGGCATTTTATGGCAATTATTTGCTCGAAATTGACATTTAGTCTAAGCAGCCATGGCTACTTGATAATTGCCATGGCACAAATGCGTCAACCGTCGGGATATTAAAGGAGCTAGGTTGGCACATGCACAGGAAAATAATTAAACAGAGTGCTCTTCTGGAATATTTTCTAAGCTAAATGTATATACAGATATATGAAAATTGTAATTGAATGTGTAAAACATCGAATACAAATTAACTGAAACTAAACTCATAGGAATACCAAACCTAAGGTGAAGCGAATAGCCTGCATTCCAGCCCAAGCCTAAAAACTGCACTCTAACTGCAAAGTACCTTGTAAACAATATATGAAGAACAAGAAAATATTGCTTGACAATGCGAAGATGGGCCGCATTGTAACACATATATATATAAATCTTTCCGCTAACATATAAAAGGAAATTATAACAAAAATGTTTTAATGAAGCTATATGTTCTATATGTTTAGTTTGGAAAAATCAGTTAAGGGTGCAAAGGTTTAACTGTTGGTAAGTCAGTAGTATGGTGGCGAGTCTTTTGGTAAAATGTTACAAAGTTATTTGTGTATTTGAACTTCTTTCGCACCGCACATAGCCAACCCTAGTAATCGGAGGTGCTAATGTGTATTTATGAACATTCATTGGTGTTCAGAGCACAAAACCTCGGGTAATCATGTGACCACACTGATTTGATTGGAAGTCACTATCCTAGTTGCCATGACACTTGAGGAGCAACGATTGGAAGATGGTGTGGTAACGATTGTCTGTGATGAATGCCAGTGATCCCTGCCACGTAATATTTCCTGAATGTTTTGTGGCCCAAAGCTATACCGGTGGCTCTAGTTGCTGAACCTAAATAAGCCATTGGATGCTTTTATTTAATTTTGGTGACGTGCTTTTACAGTTACATTTTGGCGAGATACATTTGAGAATTGTGCCTGCAATATGGCATTTACTGTAAATAATAAATAATTTAAACAAACAGTGGACAGTGATCGTGCATCTGTAGAAATCATCATTATTTACCAAAATACTTCCCGGTGTCAGTCCATCATCACTCTTTGGGTTACGGTGAATAGTGAATGTCTGGTGAGTGGTGGTGGGTGTGTGGTAAATGTCAATGTGATAGGTATCATTTGAGTGATTTAAGGTTAGTGGTAAGTTTCTGGCGGATGAGGGTCTGGTGACAATGGTGACAATGGCTGGTGAGTACGAATTGTGTTTCTGTTGAGTGGCATCGAGTGTTGATTGCCTGGTGAGTGGGCAGAGTGGTGCATGTTCAGTATCCGGATAAATCAATGAGGGGATAACACATTCATTTGGTAGTTGAAATACGCTGCTGTAGCAATTTGCCTCATACAGGCATCAGCATTTTTTTTTCCTTTCCAAAAATTGGATTAAAGAGGAAAATTATTAGAAATTCTTAAACACGTAAAGACGATGAACAGCAATGTGTGGATTTGATATAATCACAATGTGTGGGGGCTCACTTACTGTTAATTCAGTGGGGATTATATGAGGATGATACAACTGGGTTGTAGAATGTGCCCGGGTTGTAAGATGTAGCTGGGTTGTAGGATGAGGCAGAGCTTTAGGATGAGGCAGAGCTTTAGGATGTAGCCAAGTTGTAGGATGAGGCTGAGTTGTAGGATGAGGCTGGGTTGGAGGTTGTGGCCAGGTTGTAGGATGAGGCTGGGTTGTAGGATAAGGCAGAGCTTTAGAATGAGGCTGGGTTGGAGGTTGTGGCCAGGTTGTAGGATGAGGCTGGGTTGTAGGATATGACCGGGTTGTAGGATGAGGTTGGGTTGTAGGATGAGGCTGGGTTGTAGGATGAGGCTGGGTTGAAGGATGAGGCTGAGTTGTAGGATGTGACTGGGTTGTAGGATGAGGTTGAGTTGTAGGATGAGGCCGAGTTGTAGAATGTGGCCGGGTTGTCGAATGAAGCTGGGTTGTCGAATGTGGCTGGGTAGTAGGATGAAGCTGGGTTGTAGGATGTGGCTGGGTAGTAGGATGAGGCTGGTTTGTAGGATGAGGTTGGGTTGAAGGATGAGGCTGAATTGTAGAGGCTGCAGCAGAGGTTGGCTCTGGAACTGATAGTGAGAGGTTGTCTGTGAACCTCGCCACATTTCCTGCTGCGTCTTTCACAGCCAACGTCAGCCAAGGTGTGCAGCACGAAGATCTGCACACAACACACACAAAGACACACGAGTATATGCACTCTTTACTCGCACGCTGTCACAGCAGCACGCACTGTACTGTAGCCAGTATCCTCTAGCAATGTGCAACTAGGACAAGTTGCACAGGGCTCCCACTACTTTATGGGTCCCCAAAACTTGCTCGGTCTGTCTCTGTCTGTCTCTTTCTCTGTCCATTTACGCCCTGTCTCATTCTGTGTCCCTATCCATGTATTTATATTTCTCTGTTTTTGTCTGATTCTCTTCATGCTTTACTTTTGTATCTCTTTGTCTGCAATGCATTTTGCCATTGTTGGAAGAGAGTTGATCCGTTGCAGCAGAACCCCTTATAATGGCAGATATTCCACCACCGTGTGTTTTTTGTGGAACAAGGGTGTCGGAATATAACATGAAGAGTGAGGAATGGGTCGCCATGGAAACTCTTTGCACATGTGACCTTGCTTTGCGTCAGGCCCGAGCCCATGCCTAATTGAAACCAATCCACTATGCAGACTGGCGAATGAATGAATATAAGTGCACAAGTGAAAAAGGACGGTTCACGAATAGAAAAATGTGGAAGAAGCATCATTCCGCCTAAATAATTATAATAGACTTCCGCAGATAAGATAGTCGTGCAGCAGCAAATTTGTTGAGCAGCATGCAATGGATCGCCGGTCTAACTGAACGGTCAGGAGAAAATAAAATGTAAACCATATGTGGGCTTGGTCAGCTTCACTGTGTATCTGTGCCAGGTAGAATTTTAAATGGACCAGCCATGGAAGGGCACTTCTTTGACCATAGGACATGATAGATATGGACATGCAAACAATTATCCACTGCCTCTTTTTTTGCTGTCCAGCTAGTCTGCCCTAGGGCTGTGCCAGACCAATCTGGTATGGCTTAGAAGGAGCCAGCATTGCAAAAGCCGAGCCGTTCTTCCGACGTCACATGCATTGAAGGTGTGACGTAAGCATCACGCCTTCAGGTGTAGTTACACCAACATAATCAAATTTATTCAATCTCACCCCCGGCCAGCGCGAGATTCAGATACCTTGTGAGGCCAGCGGATCACGGTTCGGTTCTGACACGGCAAATAGCCCAGTGAAAAACCACGCTGTCAATCTGCATTCATCTTTGATTCGGCACGGTGGACTTGCACGGAACCGTGACAGCCCCAGGCTAGCATGGTTCGAATATGCCAGTGAAAGAGGGGCATACTTGCCTTCATTTAAAAGATCCACACGATACTATTTCCAATTTAAGCAAGTATAGCATTATGCCAATTGCATATTTATCTAAAAGATACATAAGCACATTTTACTTGTAATAAACGAGCAGCATGTCCCCCTGCTGGCTCGTTGTGAGCTGGCTCAGGGGATCTCCCCGCTCCACTGTTATGTTGAATGTGCCCGGTCGGTCGTCGTTCACTCCCAGTTGCAGCTGCCACGTGTGTTGCTCGCAACTGCCGAGGGTCGTGCACTGGCTTTCAACGCCCAGTTTCCAAAGGGTGGGTGACACCGTGTCTGGAGTCTGCACAGTCACACGCACACGTCACCATGTGTAGAGATGCACGCCCGCAAAGCAATACACCAGGAATCCGCACGTCGTCGCACAAATCCCAGAGTTCATGTAAAGGGATTCTTCCGCAGTGTAATGATTCGGTACGGTGGACTTGCACGGAAGTTGAACTAATCGCTAAGTTTCTAAAATCCTCCTGCGAACACACTCCAATATCAATCACGTATCTACACGTTGCATCGTTATTGTGCCTATCTATCAACATATTGCAAAGATGAATGCAGACTGACAAATGTGGAGGGAACTGACGGTTTTTTCCTTGACGATGACAGCGACAGAGAAGGCAAGCGTAGTGGAAGAGCCCCCTCCTGACTTGCTGATGGCCGTCACGTACACCGTGCTGCAAAGACACAGGCGGAGTCAACTGACAGCTCACTTTCTAGAGCTTCTCGCTGTGCGTTTCACATTCGACCGGAACTCGTCCAATCGTCAGTAAACGGGGGCACACTTGCAGGTCAGAGCACGTGTGGGTTAATGTGGGGGGGTAATGGTGCAGTGGTTAGCACACTCCGTTATGAACTCGGCGACCCAAGTTCAAAACCAGTGACGATTATCTGAACTTCATACACACACACGATTCTCGTTCACACCGAGAATCGTGTGTGTATAAAGCCAGTATTTATAATCCATACATTTTATGTGGTTGGTTCATGGAAACCCTGCAGGTTTGGTTTATAAATGAGAAAAACCTCGAAGCAATGGTGACCCAGAGGCATAAGTGTAGCTGGACATACTGGGGCAGTCACTCTTCCAAAACAATATCAATGTGGATGACGTGGCAGGTGACCGTTGTAATGAAACATAAACTTGGCTATTCACTCAAATCTACTAGCAATTTCGCCGATAACGTGTACAAAACTATACACAGTGCACTAAACTATATACAGTGTACTAAACCATATACAGTGTACTAAACCATATACAGTGTACTAAACCATATACAGTGTACTAAACTAAAGAGTGTACGAAACTATATACAGTGCACTAAACTATTTACAGTGTACCAAGCTATTAACAAGATACTTAACTATATATACTCGCCGTGTGATAGAGAAAACAGCACATCTCCACTCCGCGCTATCATGGACAGGCAGAATGGCTTCCTATGTTTAATACGGGCTTTACTTTCCATAGACACGATTCAGTAGCAATGGAAGGAAGACTTCCTCACCTCACCCCTTTATATAAACACAATTTTCACATCAAGAATGTTAAGTTTGGGGTCATTACCTTGAATGGCTCAATCAGGAAAGTGGGAATAACTGGGAAATTGGGTTATGAAAAGCATGAAATATATTCAGAAGATTTCAAATTTTGCAATGAGTCTTCAACTTAACTCGTGGCTAAAATCTGAGCAATTCAGCTGATGATGTGATTCGCTAACGACATGAAGTTCAACTTCACATGTTTTGATTTTCAGGCAACATTCTGGGAACTGCGCAAGTGGTGAAAAGGACGGTTAACGAATAGCAAAATGTGGATGAAGCATCATTCCGCCTAAATAATTATAATAGCCTTCCGCAGGTAGTCGTGCAGCAGCAAATTCGTTGAGCAGCAGTAAAAAATTGTTTTTAAACCATATGTGGGCTTGGTCAGCTTCGCTGTGTATCAGTGCCAGGTAGAATTGTAAATGGACCAGCCATGGAAGGGCTCTTCTTTGACCATAGTACATGATAGATATGGACATGCAAACAATTATTCACTGCCTCATTTTTTGCTGTCCAGCCCTAGGGCTGTGCCAGACCAACCTGGTATGGCTTAGAAGGAGCCAGCATGTTTATTTCCACTGCAAAAGCCGAGCCGTTCTGCCGACGTCACTTGCATTGAAGGTGTGACGTTAGTATCACGCGTTCAGGTGTAGTTACACCAACATAATCAAATGTATTCAATCCCACCCCCGGCCAGCGCCAGATTCAGATACCTTGTGAGGCCAGCGGATCACGGTTCAGTTCTGACACGGCAAATAGCCCAGTGAAAAACCACACTGACCGCGACAGCCCCGGGCTAGCATGGCTCGAATATGCCAGTGAAAGAGGGGCATACTTGCCTTAATTTAAATGATCCACACGATACTATTTTCCATTTAAGCAAGTATAGCATTATGCCAATTGCACATTTATCTAAAAGATACAGATGCAATTTTACTTGTAATAAACGAGCAGCATGTCTTCAACTTGACTCGTGGCTAAAATCTATGAGCAACTCAGCTGATGACGTGATTCGCTAACGATATCAAAGTTCAACTTCACATGTTTTGATTTTCAGGCAACATTCTGGGAACTGTGCTCGTTTTCCTCCAGGAAGGCACAAATCCCATCATGACCTGCAAGCATGTCATGTGATCAACCACATTGCATGTACTACGAGCTCAGCTTGTCCTCTTATAAGATATTTTATTCTGATTGACTTGCAGTGTCCGTCATCTGGCGAACCAATTATGTTCATCTTCAAATTAAGCAAATAAAAACCAAGTACAATATGGTGGCTGTTTGTCCTTTCATTACTTTTTGGCTTGAGACTATGAACTCAATTAATTTGAGAACTGGCACTTTGAACCCAATAACTCAATGGTGCCGACTCACTGTACTTTGACCCTGGACATTAACCATTTGAACCACTCAGCCACCTCTCACCCAAGCTTTCTCGTTAAGATTATATTCCTGAATTGTGTGATGCTGCAGCCTCCATTACTGCAATGCCGAAGAACCGCTACACAATTTCGCATCCTTTACCTGGCAAGGAATCTGGCATCAGCAGGCACTGAGACATTCAGTGCTATGGTCTGATTTTTGCCAGGCTCCAGCTTCACCACGATCGGGCGCAGCGTCTGAAGCCATCCCTGGTCGTCGCTTGCCGACACCAAGAAGGTGGCAGCTGCACCGTTGTTCTTCAGCACCACGAGGAGTGGGGAGGTATTGCCCGGCAAAATCATCACTGCGAAACACAAAAGACAAATATCCCTCGTGGAGCCTTTAACAGACTGTTGGCTCAAGTTCTGTTCGTGAGTAGCACCGATGAAGGAATGACACGGCACATGAGATGGGGTGGGTGGCTCACACTGTTCCCAGCCACCTTTGTCTCCCCAGTGCTAATCTGTACATACCACACTGGGTACTCATTTAAGGTTGCTTAGACCTAGGGAAGGCACGGGGCTGGTTTAAATATTTCCCGATATTAGTGGTCATGAGTGGGAATCAAAGTTTGGTCGCTGGGTTTGTAGCAGTGCGCTAACCTCGACACACAGGCATACACAGCAGTGCAGCACCGTTTCCTTATAATTAATTCCACCATTTATACTCTAATGCTGCCCATGGTGTCGTGGTCAGCGCACTGAATATCCAAATCAAAAAGTCGCGGGTTCGATTCCATCTCCTGGTGCAGAAGTATAAACAATGGGCAAGTTCTTAAATCATCACCTCCTCCCCACCTCTGCCCACGCAACAGTGTAAATGGCGACACCAGTTCGTCGATCGACAGTTCGCGTGTTATGGGGTATAGTGTGGGCACTTCTAACATGTCTGACCAGCATGGAAGAGTAGGCTAAATACCTTCTAGCGGGGCTCTCTAGAGCTCCATCCTGCGGAGCCCCTTACACCAGCTGCGGTGTGATAAAGAAATTGCAGGGCTGAACTTTTACATTGTAAAACTAATCCAAAAAAATCTCATTCTCCCCCTTATTAAAACACTGGGTTTAAAACAATGCCCCTGTTATTTGTTTTGTATTCCACTTGGAAAAAGATGCTGACCAACTCAATTTTCAAGAATCTTCTCGAGCCAGTCTATGTGGACAACATATAAATGCAGGAGTTGGCTGTGTCGGGTGGTGGCGGGTTTAACAACACATTGATATTTACACAATCTAACCAAAAAAACTATATTATGAATACTTTGTGTTTGCTGTACTTAGTTTATGTTACATATTTGTTGTTGGCATTGTTTTTGTTAGCTCTCAATACTTGCATACGTGTTGTACTTATCTGCATTTACTATAATTTACAACGGTTACGTTTCTCCTTGTTTTGAGCCAGGTCTTCCTTCAAAAAGACTTTCCAGCTCTGAATTCGTTTTAAACCACGTTAATGGAAAAAATGGAAATGTACGTAAGCGGATTTTTTTCTTTCATTTTTCAATGTTTTAAAAATGTTGTGTTTTTTTGGTCTATTTCCCTCAGAATCTACACATCAATGATTATTTGTGTAAATCATTAACTGTTCTATTTATTACGAAGTAAAAGCATTACTAAAACAGTGCTGCATGTGTATTTCCTAATTTACTCTTGCCATACGCCCACACTCTCTATGCCTGTCGTGTTTGTAGGGAAAAATCATGTAACTTTGTATTTTCATAATACATATACAAACACATGACATTGCCTTTGCATCGCATACACCAAAGGTAAATCCTGCCGGTGTACACGACGCAGATGTGTATGCGTGTGCAGACACAACGTCATGGGAAGGTGCGAGGGTTCGTTTGCTGTGGTTCTAGTGAATCTCACCGTCGCCCGGGTTGTCGAGGATGAGCTCAAAGCTCTCGATGCGTTTCAGCTTTGTTTGCAGCCGGCAGAATGTGACGTTTCCAGGCGATAGGCCACACACTGCCACCATGAACGGCTGGGGGACAGAAACACAACGGAACGGCGGTTACTGCCTAGAGTACACGGGTAGACCCATGGAAGAGTTACACTCGATTGCACGATCATGATCACCTGCCATGATCAACCTACTGTTGGATGAAGGACTCCCCAGGCTGCTGCCATCTATCACGATCCTGCGATGTAATAATAATGAACTAACACTGCCTCTATTTAGGACTGAAACAGGAAGACGTCTCAACAATTATGACTATCGCCTGATGAAGCTGGTTGTTGTAATCACCAGTGAAATGTCGTACTCGAATTGTACATGTTGTGGGTTTACTCTCCAACACACCAGTGTGCTTAAGTAGTAACTAATTGGCATGTTTTGTTTACGTGACAAACCTCACTAATTGGCTATGTCAGGCGGTGGCACGTTTAACGACACTTTTATATTTATACGATCCAACCCAAAAAAAACTTTGTTATTGATTTCAACGTTCCATTTCCCTGGTGGACGTCCTCTTGCTCCCACACTGTCACCATTCTTGACCATCGCCCATCGGCCCAGCAAACCGCGACACGTCCTACCCAAGCCCCACTTGCTTTCTTTAACGGTTTCAACGATGTCTCTAACCTGTGTATATTCTCCAATCAATACCCAGCAGCCATCGTGGTCAATAAAATGAGAATCATCACTTCATGGGAGGTCAGCACCAAGGGGGGCGCCATGGTGGCGAGATCTTAACACCTGTTTTGTTGCCAGAAAAAAGGGGAAAAACCTATTATCTTATCCTTTCTGTGTTCAAAACGTCACTTATTTCCATATTATTTTCCTTCTAGGGCAGCGTTATTGACAAATGTGTGGAGTTTCTGTTATTGGCGCTTTGGCTGTGTACCTCTGCCAATACAGTATCGCACAACAAACATTTATGATGTGTAAATATAGTCTGAAGTGTGCACAACACGCATTTTCTCTAAATCGTTTCTAGAAGGATTAATGGAGTAAAAACCGGTATAAGCCAACAAACAAATATATGCAATACTAGACACACATTATGAGAATAGGTTTTCCCCTTTTTTCTGGCAACAAAACTGAAACCTTTTCTACAAGGAATCATGTCTGCATTAACCACAATACTTGTGGTCAGAATGCAAACAAAAAACACTGATAATATATGCATTGTGCTGGAAACTGATTGGTCCACACCAGAGACAACTTTCTTTTGAGCCTCGTCTCAAACGGTGTTAGACCAGAGGATACCAAAAGGCGTAAAGCTGAAAGACAATGCACTATCAGAGTTATGAAAGCTCGGGGTGAGCATCTACATCATGGGACCTCCTTTGCCAGTACCAAAATATAAGAATAGGGTTTTCCCCTTTTTTCTGGCAACAAAACTGAAACATGTCTGCATTAACCACGATACTTGTGGTCAAAATGAAAACAAAAAACACTGATAATATATGCATTGTCCTTGAAACTGAGCTGTACGCCTTTTGGCGTCCTCTGGTCTAACACCAATTGAGACGAGTATCCAAAAAAGCTGTCTGGTGTGGACCAATCAGTTTCAAAGACAATGCATATATTATTAGAGTATGTTTTTTGTTTGCATTCTGACCACAATTATTGTGGTTAATGCAAACATGAATCCTTGTAAAAGGTTTCAGTTTGGTGTTTTAACATCCTAACACCACTTTTGTTGCCAGAACAAAGGGGAAACCCTATTCTCATATTTCGGTACTGGCAAAGGAGGTGTGGGGGTTGTTGTTGTGTTGTTATCCCTCTTCAGCTTCGTCAGCGATAGACAAATGAATATTTCGTAATCATTCCTAGCTTTGGCAAAAAATAAAACTTTCAACCTTCGACATTCTGCCATGTTCGGTTACCAGCATTTTGCCCGAGGATATCAAAAGTAGCATCTGACAGCCGAGGTTTCCTCCTCGGTCGTCCAGACTAGCATCACTCCTTTTTCATCTCAGAACATCTATATTTGAGTCTACATTTCTCTAATCTCACTATATCTCTATCCCTCGTCTATATCTCTTCTGTCATTGCATTCGGATTTTAATACATTGGGCAGCCCCAATAATAATTTATGCTCAGGGTCTGCAATGGACCAACACCATTGATGGCCCAGACCCAGCAGTGATGGATGGGAGCTCCTGCACAAACACCACCCAGGAGGAGCCCAGAGCTCTGAGCCACACCTCACCAGGATGAAACATAGCAACAGTAGGGACCTTGATAACCCGAAGCATGGGACTACAAAACAAACCTGGTCTTTGATCTGTACGCTCAACATTGGAAACATTTGTATCTTCCCCTCGCGCCTCTTACAGTGGGGTCACTGAAGTTGAGGGGAACGCCAAATTCGCCACTTGACTCCTCGTCTTGGGCCTGAAGCTCTACGATGGTCACACCGTCTGCGTTTTGCATCTGCACATTTGTCATCCTGTAGCCGGCTTCGAGACCCAGAGGCTTAACCCAGAGCAGGTATGACACACCTGCACACGCCGATACAGCATTGACATGCAAAAGGAAAATGCACAAATACACAAACGCACGCATCATTATGTACACACACAATATACAGTGAGGGAAAAAAGTATTTGATCCCCTGCTGATTTTGTACGTTTGCCCACTGACAAAGAAATGATCAGTCTATAATTTTAATGGTAGGTTTATTTGAACAGTGAGAGACAACAACAAAATCCAGAAACAACAACAAAATCCAGAAAAACGCATGTCAAAAATGTTATAAATTGATTAGCATTTTAATGAGGGAAATAAGAATTTGACCCCTCTGCAAAACATGACTTAGTACTTAGTGGAAAAAACCCTTGTTGGCAATCATAGAGGTCAGACGTTTCTTGTAGTTGGCCACCAGGTTTGCACACATCTCAGGAGGGATTTTGTCCCACTCCTCTTTGCAGATCTTCTCCAAGTCATTAAGGTTTCGAGGCTGACGTTTGGCAACTCGAACCTTCATCTCCCTCCACAGATTTTCTATGGGATTAAGGTCTAGAGACTGGTTAGGCCACTCCAGGACCTTAATGTGCTTCTTCTTGAGCCATTCCTTTGTTGCCTTGGCCGTGTGTTTTGGGTCATTGTCATGCTGGAATACCCATCCACGACCCATTTTCAATGCCCTGGCTGAGGGAAGGAGATTATCATCCAAGATTTGACGGTACTTGGCCCTGTCCATCGTCCCTTTGATGCGGTGAAGTTGTCATGTCCCCTTAGCAGAAAAACACCGCCAAAGCACAATGTTTCCACCTCCATGTTTGACGGTGGGGATGGTGTTCTTGGGGTCATAGGCAGCATTCCTTCTCCTCCTCCTCCAAACAGGGCGAGTTGAGTTGATGCCAAAGAGCTCCATTTTGGTCTCATCTGACCACAACACTTTCACCCAGTTGTCCTCTGAATCATTCAGATGTTCATTGGCAAACTTCAAACGGGCATGTATATGTGCTTTTGTGAGCAGGGGGACCTTGCGGGCGCTGCAGGATTTCAGTCCTTCACGGTGTAGTGTGTTACCAACTGTTTTCTTGGTGACTATGGTCTCAGCTGCCTTGAGATCATTGACAAGATCCTCATGTGTAGTTTTGGGCTGATTCCTCACCGTTCTCATGATCATTGCAACTCCACGAGGTGAGATCTTGCATGGAGCCCCAGGCCGAGGGATATTGACAGTTCTTTTGTGTTTCTTCCATTTGCGAATAATCGCACCAACTATTGTCACCTTCTCACCAAGCTGCTTGGCGATGGTCTTGTAGCCCATTCCAGCCTTGTGTAGCTCTACAATCTTGTCCCTGACATCCTTGGAGAGCTCTTTGGTCTTGGCCATGGTGGAGAGTTTGGAATCTGATTGATTGATTTCTTCTGTGAACAGGTGTCTTTTATACAGGTAACAAGCTGATATTAGGAACACTCCTTTTAAGAGTGTGCTCTTAATCTCAGCTTGTTACCTGTATAAAAGACACATGGGAGCCAGAAATCTTTCTGATTGAGACGGGGTCAAATACTTATTTCCCTCATTAAAATTCAAATCAATTTATAAAAATTTTACATGCGTTTTTCTGGATTTTGTTGTTGTTATTCTGTCCCTCGCTGTTCAAATAAACCTACCATTAAAATTATAGACTGATCATTTCTTTGTCAGTGGGCAAACGTACAAAATCAGCAGGGGATCAAATACTTTTTTCCCTCACTGTATATACCTTGTTAGCTTTTAAAACTGCATTTTAAAGTAGAGAACTTATTCAAAGAGTACTTACTTTGATTGACAAAACGTAATGTAACCTTGACAACGCGATGTGGCGCGGGTGATGATGAAGAAGAGAACCGCGATTGTACCAGTGACGAGCTGCCCCTCAACAGGCAACATGTATCCGTTCTTCTGCTGCAGGATGTCGTAGGAGAAGTCGAACATGCTCTTCCCCGTCACCTCAACTCGGTACGGCGCTGCAGGGCCCAAGATGCGCGCGCGCCACTCCCCGGACTGCGGGGTGGCTACGCACAGCACGCGGAAACTCTCCGTGTCCACCAGCAGCTCGACACTTTCGTCACGCTCACCTAGGCAGTATACGGGGCAGTGCGGAGCAAATAAATACATTACTGAGTGAGCAAACACAAGTTATCCAACAGGAGGTTAAAAAACTTCCAAAACCACTCTGGTGATTAATAATTAGAGTAGACTAATGTTTCGGGCAATGGCCCTTCTTCAGGTGCTGTGAAGAAGAGCCAAACATGACCCCAAAGTTGTTAATGTGTGGCGTTTTTATTTTATTTGTGCACCACTCCCAATACAGTGTCACCATTCAAGTAACATCATTATTTGCCGAATGGTGCAAATAATAATGTAATAATTTTATATATTGGAACATTGACGTGAGAGCTGTTTAAAAAAAAACAATGCTCTTATCAAGTTATGAGAAAAAAATTGCACGGACTTATTTAACTGCCTATGCGAGTGCACTAACAGGAGGTGGAACCACAAGTGTCAAAGCAGAGATTAAATGCTTTAAAAAGAAACCGAACACTAAGTTACGCACTGATCTGTAATTGTAGGAGCGATGCAACATCTCTCGGTCAGGGCACACCTCAACAGTGACACAAAGGGAAATGTTGGCGAAGGGAAATGGAGGGTTGGCAATGAGAGGCAGGGTCACCGGAGGGCCGGTAGAGCTCCACGTCGAAGTCCACCGGGGCACGAACTGAAATGGCGAACTCGGCGAGTGTGGGCTCCACGGAGAAACGCACATCCCCGGGCGGAGCGGAGGAGACGCGCAGTAGCGTGACGGGCGCCGCGTTCAGGTCCAGCATCACGCTGCCCAGCACGCCGGGGAGCTTCTCCTTGGTGGTGAGTATGTACGAGCCGCCAGAGAATTCCGCAAGGATCTCAAACACGTTCTTCGTGGCGGAGCGCTCTGCATAGAAATTGATTGATGTGCGGGGACATGTCAGAGCGTAAGTGGAAGTGGTTGGATGTGTGAACCAAAAAACCTGTGCGTGCATGCAACACTATCTATTTTTATATTCTTGGTTCTTTCGGTAAATTCACGTAAAGTAACGAACAAAAAAAAACTATTTATTTTAGTTAACGCTTCATATGCACGTGTAATAAAATGAAAGCTGAAGAGTAATTTAAAAGTCAACTAACATATTTAATATATATATTTAACAGAGTTACTGAGGGCAGGCCCAAAGGCCTAACTTCTCAAGCAGTCAGCAACAAACAGCACCATCAAAGTTGGAAAGAGTTTAATACGTTGCTTGAATTTAGCAAGGTTGAGAGAGGTTGGGAAAGAGGCACAATGGTAGTGAATTCTTCACATTGTGGTGGTTGAACGTTTGGTAGACCCAGTCCTCAATATGGGTGGAGGAATCAATGAGTGAAGCTAAATGATTGAAGTTCATGGGAGTGGTTGAAAAAGAACAAATAAGTGAACGCATAAAGGAAATTAAGAAAGTCACGTGAGATTGTATGCGGATGCACGCACTGCACAACTGTACTTTGACGGAGGCTTCGTTTTCTGCGGTCATCATCTTCACAGTATTCCCCAGTGTTGATGATGTTCACCTTGGCTTCCTTTTTAGCAATCTCATCCTCCACCTTATCCCTTTCGCTTTCATCTTTTGCCCCCGCATCCGTGATCAGATACAGTCGTGAGCTGTGGGTAGAACCAATATTCGCGCTGCTAATAATCAACACATTGACAATTAGTGTAAATTGACACCCACACGTAAATATTAATCAAATTAACGTAACAATAGGTACAGATCTTATTTTATTATTGCGTCATGGTTTGTGTATGTACGTTGAAATTTTTTTGCATTGTATGTAGCCAACCGTGCTCATCAGAGGTGTGCGTGTAAAAATGGACACCGGTTGGTGAGCTGGTATGTTTACTATACAGTTCGGCAACTTAAGAATGATCCGTCAGCATTGACCGTATAGTGGTGCAGCGTCGCTGGCGTGGACCGTGGTGCAACGAATGAAATGCAGGGCACACTGTGTCAATTTCCCCCCACTTTTGGTAGCCAGCGCATTGTCCCCCAGGACCCCCCAGTGCAGTGGCTCCGCCTGCACACTCAACAGCTATGCCACTGGATCATTTTCTTGGAAATAACATTGCAAGTAATATATTTTATCAATTAGGTGTTTTGAGTCAGAGCTTAATATGTAATGCAACTCGTATTGTTGCACTGTTGTAATCTGTGGTAATGTTCTGACAAGCAAAGCTAGTGTCGCAATTCTGAACGGTTGATGACTGTAACTCTTTAACGTCATTTGTGGTTATCAATTAAGAACTTTACCGTGGAGAACAAAATTCCAGTGCTCTCATTATACCACTCAGGGCCATCTCAGGGCAGTCTCCTCCACCGCCAATTTTAAGGTTCTGCACTTCTTGCATAATGTCTTGCATGCTTTCCAATTTATAAACTGGCCCAACATCTACATGGAAAAGAGCACAGAATGCACAGGTAAAACAATCATAAATACCGTTTTTCTGAAGCAGTGTCACTCCTCTACCCAATAGGTGGATAGTGTGCTGTCAGAGGGAACTTGTGAATCTTTACTCATGTACCTGGATCACCAAAAGGCACGAGGATGTATGATTCTGGGGCATCAGGGCTGTTTTGTAAGGAGTCAGCTATTATTTCCATTTGTTTATGGACATTTTCAATGTCCTCTTCCATGCTTCCTGTGACATCAAGGACGAAGGCAAGCGAGTATCCTGGAAGATTAAAGACTTCCTTGAATTTCTCAAAACCCAAGGTTGACAGAATGCCCCAATCTGCATCGATCACACGAGACAAAACAGGTTTTTCATAGTCAAGAACATTGCATTCAATATGACCAATAATATAACTTATATGAATGGGAACGATGCATTTCAGTTGAGTAATGCATGTCGCGATCAGAATGCTGGTGGAAAGTTATGAGGAAGGAAGCTTGCTGCCCTGGTTAATGTTCAACGTTCATGAGCTGATTGGATATTCCACCCTCTGGAATGAGCGGAGTGCAAGTCCTCTCTACAATCATCACTGAATTTTAATTTTGGACAGGTCGAGAAGATTCTGATGTCACAGCACAAACCCTGCCTCTAGAAGCAGTCCACATAACAGCCCAGGATAGGTCTGACATGTTCTAATGCATGTGTCCATGTAAGTGTGCGTGTCGTGCGATAAGCAGAACGGCTCAAAGAGGAACATAACCATCCTGCAAAGGACTGAGTGACCTTAGACTTTGCGATCCCTCACCACAATGGGAAAGTGCAGCTTCGCCCCTGTCATTTATATAGATACACATGTGTCAGAGAAAGCAAGAGTGTGAACATTGGAACAGTGTGGGAACAGTATTCCATGGTTATCACAGTAACAAACAAGACACACACACAATATGCCAATGTCCACCTACAATGGTTTATCATAGGAATTGTCCTCCCTAAAACAGAGCAAATATATAAATAAGTACAGTTGTCTTTCTAGATGTGTCTTTCTCCACGTTTAGGCCTAAGTTAAATGACATGTGTCTTTATATCAGTAATGATAAACATTTAACAGATTTATAGTTATCATTATTATTATTCATTATTTTGGTTGTTTACCCAGGAAAGCTTCACCAATCCTCAAGACTTTTTCAGGAGGGTCCTGCCAATTTGTCACAGTGAGGGGGCGATTTTGATTCATAATCCCAATTAGGTAATTTCCAGAACAAGGGGAGAACATACGAACTCCACGCTGAAAGGCGCCCGAGTCGGTAATTGAACCCAGTGCGACCATTGCGCCACCCTGCCGGGAAATATTTAAATGTAAACATTAATGCCACGAAGTGCACACGTGTTGGGCAAGCATGGGACGTCATGTGCAGTGTATGCGGTGCCAGAACAAAATTTTACAATCTCCAGTGGTATAGTTTGGCCATATTTAGCTACTAAAGTTAGCAAATGTACACACAAGTGTTACAATAGATATCACAGTGGTAATTACATGACATAGTTAAGGCAATGAATGGTGAATAATTTATTTACTTGGTGCCACTAAGAAGTCGCGCGTGGCCTGCACAGCCATCTCCCCTGCACGTCCATGCAGGTTGTGGTGTGGCGATAGTCGTGGGTCCAGTGTCTCCTTGTTTATTCCACCTCGTGGGCTTACTTTCTGCCAGATGTCATCTTTACCACCGTGGCTGCACTTTCCTGTAGTGAAGCAAGTACAGGACTAAAGAATGAGGCAGAATACATCTCTCCATTGTTCTTATTTATTTTTTAAACAGTACAATTGATGTTGAGTAGCAATTTCTTGCTATAATGTAAACATTGTGATATTAAATGTATCGTCACTAACACTGAACGCCATGAGGATGCGTTCACCGATTAAATAATACTGTGCAGATTTGCAAATTAAATGTGTGTTAGTGCTCGGTATGTAGTCTCCAACATACATTTATGTCTGCCAGAGTAACTGGTATCAAGTACTGAGCGAGGTTTATGGGTGTAAATGTGAATTTTCACACCATTAGGTTTTCTCTGGCATTCATTTCCATGCTTGTAGCCGCTCGTTAACGGAGCGTTTGGCAAAACGTTCCAGGGGCAATCATAAACATCGCGGTCCCTGTAGAAACATAAAAACACAAAATTACTTACATAACAGCAAATTTATCGACCAGTTTATCAATGACAACACAGGCTCTATGATACACTGCCAAGTTTTCCAATCTATGAGAAAATCTATCAAAATTGGTTCAATGTTTGCAAACTAATGTACTTAAAACTGTCATTTGACACGCCTAAGTAATATAATTATGGGATATTCAGCGGAGACTTATGGTTTCCATGCTGGCATTCATTAATGTTGGAGTTGACTAATCAGTTTTGTGTTCATGCAGAGAAAATACATGATGCAACTACCTCAGGGTTGTTACTCTGGGATTTACTCAAAGCTGCATATATTTCATGAGCCGGGAACCTCACAACTGAAGTTAAACGGTGCAGCTTCCCCGCAGTAAAGTTAATACAAGAACAACAATGGCTTTTCTCTGCATTGCTCTGTTCATTACGGGTCCCAACACACGCTACCCACACGCAACAACGCTGTTAAAATCCGTGTAGGTGTACAACTCGCAATGCCACTGATCTTTGTAACTGCACTTGCAGTTTCCAGGCCCTCTAGGCTGGAAACCCAAGCCCTTTGGGCTGGAACCCCAGGCCCTCTAGGCTGGAAACCCAGGCCCTCTAGGCTGGACCCCCAGGCCCTCTAGGCTGGACCCAGAGGCCCTCGAGACTGGATCCCCAGGCTCTCGAGACTTTACCCCTAGGCTCTCTAAGCTGGATCCTCTAGGCTGAACCACCAGACCCTCTAGGCTGGACCACCAGGCACTCGAGACTGGACCCCCAGGCGAAAGTAGGGCATGAGACAGGCCCTCTTAGGCTCCACTGCCCCTTCTTTAGTCATCACCGCTTACGTGGGCCATGAGTTACTGATGTGCAATATGTGTTGTACTGTAATACAATGGCAAAGAAGGAGCACTAATTAATCCAGAAACATTGAGCAGGAAGATGAACGTCAACTTTGCATTGCATCGTTTAACTTGAGCTTTAACCTGCTGTTAAAGGCTACAACTTGCCACCGTGAAACTCTGTTGCTAGATTCTGATGTTAACATCAATGTGCAGATTGTCTGCGCAGCTGGCTTAGTCACCGAGCGAAAGACGACACGATGTGGACAACACGATGGGGCGATTGTTGTGGTGAAATCGACTCGTTAAGGCGATCGCCATTAACCACTATACCTCATTCATCACTAATGCCAATGGACCTTCATCGTATCATTGAAGGAGGAAATTTAAAGCGTTCGGGAAATTCTTGTCGTCATTTGATGAATAACGAAATCCCGCGCGCTCTATTTATGAGGCCCGACTAACAACGGGTTAAGAGCGCGCGTTATGACTTTGGAGACGTGTCTTGGAAATATAATGAAGTGAACATGTGAAATGCATGTGGGCTGAATAGGTTTACTGGGACTGGAGGTAAAATGAGCAAGGAAGGGTGTGGGGATGCCACTTGCATTTTATTTTTGAAGCAGTCGTTGCATGTGGCCTGCTGGATTGCTACCGTCTTAAGTTCCTGGGTTGGATGTCCTGTGTTACACAAACAAATTAACATGTAGGCTTTCATGACCAATATTATGATTCATAATTGAATTTTGGGTCAGATCCCCTGAGTAAAATACGTGTTGTACATCCTTGTCCACCCAACACAGCCCATAAATTAAGGTTGCCACGTGAAGAATGTATTACTGCTTCAGCACTACCTGCATGTTGGAGAGTAATTGTTAAATGTGCATGGATCGCTCTTCATCAACACTACCGGTCTTCTGAAGCTGTAATACATTGGCACGGTTAATCATATATCTTAATTAATTGGATGTGTCAGGTGGAGGAGGATTCATGACACACATTTTACTTTCACGATCCAGGACAAACATCTTTTATGAATAATAGAGAAAATATTTCGTGAAATTCAAAAATACAGATCTAATACACTTAACCCATTTAACATATTTCCCTCCATCAGTTATTAGCATGCATGCACTTGGTTGTAGTCATTGAAGTATATTCAGCATTATTGTCATGTAAAGTACAGTATTGAGTTCAAGGAGAGACAACATCACTGGCATTTGAAAAAGAGTACACAGGAGAATGTTGTTTTCATCACTCCCTCCATGGACCTGCGAATCGTCTTCAAGTGGAGATGACAAGAAGTCATCCGCACCCATCTTGAGTAGCCAATAGGGCCCATGATGAGTAATATAATAATATACTCATGTATCCAGAAGAGCCACAGTGAGTCGTATTGCATTACGTTTTTATTAGGATGTTTTCAGCTAACTACAGAGCATACATTATACAAGTGGGAGGAAAGTGGAGCACCCGGAAATGGCAATTAGTCCTCTTGCTGTACTGCCTTGTCCGGGCGAGCCAAGCTATGGCTCCCCAACACCCACGGGAAGGGAGTTCACAACGTACGTGTGATCCACCGACCCCCACTACCACCCCACAGTGCTGGGCTAGAGTCCCAGCAATATATCTATATATATAAAATCGTTCATGTCTGTCTGTCTGTGTGTGTGTGGACTTTGGCCCATACGCACTTTCATTGGACGGCGGTTGCCCCTGGCAACGGCTAGCCACGCCTTCGCCGCTTTCATTGGACCTGGCAACGGCTAGCCACGCCTTCGCCAAGGGCTGCAGTTTCATTGGACGGCGGTTGCCCCTGCCAACGGCTAGCCACGCCTTCGCCACTTTCATAAGCTCCGTATTTAATTAAATAATACCCATTACACAGTATTGTTGGAGCGCTAGGGGGGGGGGAAGGAACGCCACCCGTACCCTGCCTCTTCCAAGCCGACAATTTTAGGCGAGGCCGCAGGCTTTGCACGCTACTAGGCCTCGACACCCACCACGCCACTCTGAGGTAAATTTATCAAAGTTTTTCCTACTCTTCACTACACCCCCACCACAATGTGTGCTATTAATATTACTTTTAAACCCAACGCGCCAACAATCGATTACTTTAATGTTAACTGTACAAATACTCATTAAGCTGGGTGAGCGTACTGCCAGTCTATCATGTACACTGTAGCCTGCTTATTAAGCTCGGTGAGCGTACTGCCACTCTATCATGTACACTCTAGCCTGCTTATGAAGCTGAGTGCGTGTACTGGCAGTCTATAATGTGGACTCTTGCCTGGTTATTATAATCGATTCTTTATATGTTCTTTGTACAAACAGTCATTAAGCTGCTTGAGCGACTCCAGTTCGATTCCAACTCACGCCCACCACCGCTGACGATTATTTGAAACGGACCTGGCCCTCCCCTAGGTCCACTCGCCTCAAACGCGTAACTGCTGTCGTGTGTGAACATCGTCACTGGGGAGACAAAGGCGGCCGGGCATCGTGGATCCAAGTCCGGGTCATGTGTATGTGTGTTTGTGTTTATGTGTATGTCTGTGTGTCTCTATGTATGTGTGTATGTATGTATGTGTTTGTGTGTATGTGTGTGTGTATGTATGTGGGTTTTTTTGTATGTCTTTATGTGTATGTCTGCGTGTCTCTATGTATGTGTGTATGTACGTGTGTGCATGTGTTTGTGTGTATGTATGTGTGTGTCTATGTATGTGTGTGTATGTGTTTCTGTGTATGTATGTGTGTGTATGTATGTGTGTTATGTGTCTGTCTGTGTGTGTGTCTGCATGTATGTGTGTGTATTGTGTATGTGTTTGTGTGCATGTATGTGTGTGTTTGTGTGTATGTGTATGTCTGTGTGTATGTATGTGTGTGTATGTGTGTGTATGTGTTTGTGTGTATGTGTGTGTGTGTTTACGCTCGCATTACACAAATGTGTTGCTGGCCTAAGGCGTTCCTCGCACAGCATTGCCGCTTTATTATTTCAGTCGCTTACTGCCTTACGCACCCTGAAAGTCGTGTGTGTCTGCAGCAAGCGCGTGTATGTGTACCTATGGACGCGCGCGCGTGTGTTGTGTAGGGGGAACGGTACTGTAGTGCTTAGCGTGCTGTCTGTGTCTGTGTGTGTCTGTGTGTGTGTCTGTGTGTGTGCGTGTGTGGTGTGTGGGGAGCGATAGTGTAGTGCTTAGCGTGCTGTCTGTGTGATGTGTGTGTGTCTGTCTGTGTCTGTCTGCGTGTGTCTGCATGTGTCTGTGTGTGTGTCTGTGTGTGTGTCTGTGCGTGTGTGGTGTGTGAGGAGCGGTGGGTGTAGTGCTTAACGCTACGCTGCGCTACCAACCCGGCGAACCGAGTTCGATTCCCGCTCACGGCCACCACCGGTGACGATTATTTGAACCTCCCCTAGGTCGACTCAGCCTCAAACGAGTAACTGGTGTTGCGTATTAACATCGGCACTGGGGAGACAAAGGCGGCCGGGCGTGGTGGATGCAAGTCCCGGGCGAAGCCGGGTCATGTGTATGTGTGTATGTGTTTATGTGTATGTCTGTGTGTCTGTATGCATGTGTGTATGTATGTGTGTGTATGTATGTGTGTGTGTATGTATGTGGGTTTTTTTGTATGTGTTTATGTGTATGTCTGCGTGCCTGTATGTATGTGTGTATGTACGTCTGTGGATGTGTTTGTGTGTATGTATGTGTGTGTCTATGTATGTGTGTATGTGTTTCTGTGTTTGTATGTGTGTGTATGTATGTGTGTTATGTGTCTGTCTGTGTGTCTGCATGTATGTGTGTGTGTATTGTGTATGTGTTTGTGTGTGTTTGTGTGTTTACGCTCGCATTACACAAATGTGTAATGCGGGTCTAAGGCGTTCCTTACACAGCATTGCCGCTTTATTATTTCAGTCGTTTACTGCCGTACGCACCCTGAAAGTCGTGTGTGTCTGCAGCAAGCGCGTGTATGTGTACCTATGGACGCGCGCGCGTGTGTTGTGTAGGGGGAACGGTAGTGTAGTGCTTAGCGTGCTGCCTGTGTCTGTGTGTGTGTGTCTGTGTGTGTGTGTCTGTGTGTGTGTCTGTGTGTGTGCGTGTGTGCTGTGTGGGGAGCGGTAGTGTAGTGGTTAGCGTGCTGTCTGTGTGTGTGTGTGTCTCTGTCTGTGTGTGTCTGCGTGTGTCTGTGTGTGTGTCTGTGTGTGTGTCTGTGCGTGTGTGGTGTGTGAGGAGCGGTGGGTGTAGTGCTTAACGCTACGCTGCGCTACCAACCCGGCAAACCCAGTTCGATTCCCGCTCACGGCCACCACCGGTGACAATTATTTGAACCTCCCCTAGGTCGACTCTGCCTCAAACGAGTAACTGCTGTAGCGTATTAACATCGCCACTGGGGAGACAAAGGCGGCCGGCCGTGGTAGATACAAGTCCCGGGCGAAGCCGGGTAGTACAGCTAGTTGTATTTTATTATTATTAAGCTTGTTTATGCAGGAAAGCCTCACTAAGATTCAAGACGTTTTATTTCAGATGGGTCCTAGCAAGTTTTTTAAATTATGTGCGATGTTGCCGCTGTGTGTAATCCCAATTAAGTAATTTGCAGGTACATTTTCAGCATCGGGATGTTGTGCCAGTACTAGCTCTACTGTTTCTTTACAAACCAGCTACATTGTACGAGAGAACCTGGAGGAAACCTATGCAGAACAGGACCTTCATTCTGTGAGGCATGTTACCGCTGTGCCACCCTGCCACCCAGACACTCGTTTGTAGACCGTTTAGCTTCACTCTGGCAGAGACCTTCTGTAGTGAACTTACCGAATGCATGGCAGGGCTCTGTGTGTCCGAGTTCGATCCAATTGGTGTTGGAATAGAACTGTTGTAGAACATGAAGTGCCATCCCCAGGTATTTTCGCGCATCTCTCAAATGACTCTTTATTTTCTTGGATGACTCCACGTATTTAAGCATCTGGTTGCGAAACTTATTCAGCTCTTTCCTTGCTGTGTTCACCATTGTCACACACAAAGATGAATAATCAATAAAATAAATCACGTCACAAAAATCCAAGCAAATGTCTCTACACAGGTGAAAAAACCAACGCCCGCCGGGTGCCACGAGTGATGTTTTTGTGCAGGGCTGTGCACTGTGGATACCACGAGAGCTTCCTCATCTCCCGTTGTAGTGACAGGCATGCTGTACAAATACTTTAAATAAGATAACATACACTTATAAACAATAATTTCAAATATTCAACCAAACTTAATAGGGTTACCTCCTTGAAAGGCTTCACAGTGCACGTTCAAGAAGGTATTATTGGGGAACAGCGTCTCAATCAAATTGTTTCCTCTTATAATGTCCTGTATGGCATCCAAAAATGATGCCGGTGACTTGTCACCTGCCAATGAGAATGGAACATGGACACAATAAGCAACTCACGTTTAAAACGTATACAATACAAGGCACTGTAGATGCAAAATATTTTTAAAAATCTTAAATTAAAAATGTTTTTCATATACTTCAAGATATTTAGTTTGTTTAACTTTTAAGTTTGTATAACTTTGCAATGAACTTATCTAGAATGGTTAAATGTTTTTATTTACTTGGCGCCATTTCAAAACAGGAAGTTGGTGCCGTTGCATGTGTAGTGGTTCACACGAGGGAGGCAGAAACTTCGTTGGAGGCAACACGTTCATTTCACAATACGCCCTAAAACACGAAGGGGTAAAACTACCCTTCACCAGCTACCCTAGGGAGGTATCTCCTCTGTGCTAGCTAACCCTGGCTCACCCTAGCTCACCAGAGCTAAGCCTAGCTAACTCTAGCTCACACGGGGTGGCTATCCCAGACTGGATCCTGGCTCGAGTTCCGGTCCTGTAGTCGGGCAGGTCTTCTCCGGGTGACGGCTTCTGTCTTCAGTCTTGCAACAGCCCCCAGACCCATTCAGGGGTCCGGCTTATATTGCCAGTCCCGGGGCTGTTGTAGGCTACAAGATCACCTTCCATGAAGAAGAATGGGACAAGATCATTTTGACGGTCACGGAACATTGAAACCCTAACATCACCTGCCAGGAGATTTCACTGCTGCAGTCTGGAGCCCAACAGCTCTGCCTTATTCTTGGGTAGTTCCAAATCCCTGACAAGGTCTTTCAGTTCACCTTGTGTTATGAGGTGTGGTTCAGAGGAGGAGGATGATGGGAGAAAATTTGGGTCATGTGACCTTAATGGTGTAGGTCCAGAAGTTGAATCCTCTTCAAGGGTCGTATATACTGACCCAGTAGCATATCTTGAAAACGAGAGCCAATCAACAATTTTAAGCATAATTTTCATTCTCAGTGACCCATAAATATGAAAGTTGGATTACATTTATTTCGGAAGTATTCTGGCTGTAGACCATTGTAATTTAAATTTGCAATTGCGACTCGGAGGCACGAGGAGGAACCAGAGACAGGCAGGGAGGCAGTAACGCGATGAGCTTGTGCCAATAATTACCCCAGATGTTATCAGCCAATTAATGAGTGTTTAAACGTGGGAGTAAACTGGAGATAACCCACGCACACAAAAGGGGAAACACTATATGCTATATCTATGGGACCTTTTTGCCAGTATCCAAGATGATGAAATAATGAGAAGAGGTTTTACCCTTTCTGGTAATAAAAAAGGTGTCAAGATGTTCAAACACCAAATTGATACCTATTCTTACTTTTTCAACTCGAAACTATACAGACAGAACAAGTGGATTTCACATGCTTTGATGTACCGCCATTTGTTGTGGCGGTACATCACACCATTTGCGTACGATACACCAACCCGATCTGGTACCTCAAGAGTGCTGGATGATGACAGGCCACGCACATTGGGGCAAAGTGAGCTGCGAATATGGAGCCCGCTCGGAAGCGTGCAGAGCCGCAAAACGTTGAGCAGCACTGCACTCGGGCCTCCTACTATAAAACCAGGTAAGGCCCACTTAGCTATACAGCGCTCTTTCAGAAGCGACCTGGCCACAACTGATAGATCTACGAACTTGGCTTATCATGTGGACATTTATTGCAGCCAAATAAATGCACGTTGATTCTAAATGTGGAGGGGAAAGCCGGAGGACCCAGAGAAAAAAAATCTATGCGACCACCGGAAGAACATGCAAACTTCAAATATACAAAAGGCGTCAGGGTCGGAATCGGGATCGAACTCATGACTTCTTATATACCAAGCGAGGTAGTTAACATCTCGCCACTGCAGCGCCCCTACAGCGCCAGGTGACAATGCCACGCGTGATGCACGCGTGAGTCGCACGCCGCTTGCCTTTGTTGTACTTTTGGAAGAGCCTTGTCGGCGTGAGAGGTTTGAGCGTCTCGAGGGAGCCAGGCGCCAAGTTGTCCTTCCGTTCCAGAAAGAAGGCCACGGCTCGCAGCACGCCCTGCTCCGTGATGCTCTCGTCCGTGAAGTCGGCTCGCACGCCACCCAGGGAGGCAGCGTTCGGGAAGAAAGCGCCCGTCCAAGGGACAGCCACGAGCAGCAGCAGTGCAGCCAGGGCGCGAGGCCCCATGGTGCACTACACGAATAGCTCAGTGGACTTTATCTAAGATAAAAAAAAAGTTTAGTTTTACTTGTATATATATTTTAAGTTATTTACCTTTTCTATGATTTGCACTCCTATCATGTGTTTGTATTGTTTGTTGATGTAACGTTATGCAAAAGAGCATTAGAGCTCATCGGATTCCCCCAGTATGAATAACGATTTTGATTCTGATACCCACTACGTAGACCTCCCTTTCGACGAGGTCTCGCTCTGTGCTACTACTGCACGTAATGTGGAATGTTATGGCCACGTCAATCAACTCAACTCCTCCCTCGTCCTCCTACATAAAGCACACCCACCCCTATCCCACTGGGTTATGGCTCTCGACTGGAACACTCGTTCCATGTCTATCTGTATGTTGAGCTTCTTTCTTGCATGAGCACAGTAAATCCTAGACGCAGTCGGGTCAAGCCAAATGTTTCACTTCCGCACGGGAAGAGTCGGGGCAGTTTGTAACGCAGTGTTCCAGGACAGATTCACGCAGGAAATCACAGCGGGGGGTGGGGGGGTCATATAGAGGGTGTCTTGCCGTGGTGTAACACAATACTGCACTGTATACTTTACACATCTCATCAGCCACTCGGAGTGCATACATTCAGCAGCATTGGTTCAACACGAGCAATTGCAATCCGGAGGACGCTGGGTTCGATTCCATCTCCTAGTTGAAACAATGGGGCAAGTCTTTTAAAATCCTCTCACACCACCGCCTCTGTCCACCCAACTCAGTATTCCAAGAGCCGCAATGCGTGTGAACACGAGAAGGGGGCCCACGATTAGGGGGCCCTTAATAACTAACGGTCACGACGCAGTCCTTAAAGAGCCGCACGCGGCTCCGGAGCCGCAGGTTGCCCGACCCTCTGGTGTGGGTGCGTCGGCCTCTTCCGAGATGTCTGGCCAAATCGACTATACGGGGGGGGGGCTCTCTGGAGCTTCCGCCAGCAGTGGCGTGAGCCAGCAATTGCAGGGCTCCACATTTACCCTAACGCAGTGACTATCTCCACCATGTGTAGACAATTCACCATCTCTATACCCACAGGAGCAATACCGTACAGAAACCCATTGCGATACATTTTTAGTCATAATCTAATCTTTCAGCGGCACTTGTTATGCAATTTTGGGAAGAACATCTTACCCCACAGTTAGTTCTAAAGAAAAGGCATTGAATTACGCTTGATAATGCATCTAAACACATCATGTGCGGTAATTGGCGGAATGTTAATTGTAATTTGAATGCATTTAATCCCCCCGTCCACCCTGTCATTTTTAAGAAGAGTGCACGGACAGTGTTGATGGGGGTGGGGGGTGCGGAGATGCTGAAGCCATCCAACTCGGTGGGAATTTCTTATTGTTCAGTCAAAAAAGGCCGTGTAATGTGCCCTCGTTGTTGCAACAAAAATGTGACAAACACAATAAATCATTGTCGGGAATGTTGAAATGTGTTTACTTTTACAAAACACGAGTCCCACCTTTTGTGCGCAGTTCAAGGAAGTGAGCTATTAAACTGTTTTTAAAGTAACGCCAACTGAGCTGTATAGCTCATTTTCAGAATCGACCTGGCCACAAATAATAGCTCAGCGAAGCGGCTTATCACGTGGAAATATAAAGCAGCCAAAATACTCTAAAAGCACATTTCTAAATGTGGAGGGAAATCCCCGAGGACCCGGAGAATAATTCATGCGACCATGGGGAGAACACACAAAGTCCAAATATACAGCAGGCGTCAGGGTTGGGAGCGAACCCACGACCTCCTTTATAACAGGCGAGATAGTTAACATCTCGTCACCGTGACGCCCATGAGCTACCAGTTTGCTCCATTTAATCACATTTTCTGGACAAAGTTAGATTCTTAAAGCAATCATTTAGCTTCATATTTGCTTTGTCATTCCTTAAATGTGTTTAGTTAAAAAACGGTTTGCAGAATGCATGAGGATAGAAATAAAAAAAACTCCTCTAATAATAAAAGTATCACAGTCTTAACTAGGCTTTTTTATTGAGCCCTATTGTATGACAGTCGGGACAATGGGACCGTTCTTGTGCTCAGTTTTATGACAACATAAGTGTGTCACTGTAACTGCCCTGTGTCATAGCAGGCAACACTGTACTGTATCCACTGAACACAACAGTTCTCATCATCAGGCACACACTTGTGTGTGTTTCGCTCTTTATGAATTTCGACAAACGATCCACCTCCCTCTCGTCAATGTTTTCCACCTCAGTTACCACAATAACTGCCCGATATATGCATACTCGGATTTGTTCTCTATTTGTACCCCTCCGATATCTTCAATTCAATCAATTGTTTCGTGAACTTGTGCCTGTACTTAGTTTTGCTCATACAGCATTGACGGTATCTTGAGCCCAGCTTTGCAGACTTATTTATTAGGTTATTCAGTCGTTTCGCACCTGATGATGATTGCATGTGTTGCAATCGAAACGTCGTGAGAATTTTATTGTTTTATTTTTATTATTCTATTATTTCCTTCTATGTGACTTTACCGAAAGAACCAAGAATATACAGGTAGTTAGTTGATTTCCATTTGTTATACTGATATGTCATTAGCAAATCTGAGATGTTTCATTTTTGATTATTATCATGCCTTTGTTTTACAATAATCAAATTTTTTTAAAGAAGTCACTTTGGAAGCATTTGTTTGAATTGTATTTTGCTACTTTCTTCGTGCAATAAGTGTCGCTACTCCATTAAAACAATGATTTGGCGATGGATTATATCTACATTGGAGAATCTGGTAAACACCTCGGTGATAGATTTGCTCAACGTCTTTTGTCACATCGCCGGGCAGACGTCCAAACGGGTGGCTCGTCACTTCAACAGCGGGGACCACAGTGCCAGCGACGTGTTGGTGAGTAGCCGTGTCTTGATCTCCGGTGGGGAGCGGTAGTGCTACAGTTAGCGCACTGCGCTATGAACCCAGCCACCCGAGTTCGATTCCCGTTCACGGCCAACACCAGTGACAATTATTTGTACCGGTCCTGGGCTTTACCCTAGGTTGACTCAACCATCTTGAGTACCTGGTGTGGTGTATAAACACCGCCACTAGGGGACAAAGGTCGCCGGGCGTGATGCTGGCCACCCACCCCCTCTTGTGCTGTACTGGCCTTCATGAATGCTCGCTAAAAGCACTTGTCCTTACAGTCTTGTAAAACTATACGGGGATCTTTATCTTGATCTCTGGTGGAAATAAAAATACCATTCCTATATGTATGCCTCACTTTTTATTGCAGAATTTCCCACCTCAGGAATATTGGGGGCACGTACATTGAATTATGCCTTGTGCTTGCAAGAACACATTTTCCTAATTACTTTTAATATAGTTTATTTAATAGTAAATACTTTTGGATTATTGGTTTGTCCATTATCCATTAGCTACTTATAGTGTACATTATTTATTTAGAAACTGGCTAGCAGAAAACATTTTACAAAAGGTAATTCACATCAGGGCCCATGGTGTAAAGTGCAGTTATCATCTATTTTCTACCAATATCTCTGGCCTCTTCATTACGTGCTATCAAGTTGGGGCATTGCCCAAAATGTTGTCTATTATATGGGTATTCCTTTTCAAGGCGAGTATTATTGATGATTGTGTTGAGCTTTTCTATTTTTCTAAAACAAAATTATTATTTAAAACTCATGCTCGCAAACACAACCCTTCCTCAGCAGTTTGCTTTCAGGGTCATCTCTGCCTGGTACTTCACGTGGTCTCAGGAGGAGCGAGGGGATAATGCCAACGCCAGTTGCAAGCGATTATGAAATTCTCACTTGTAACCTTCATCAGCTAGACGAGACCAGGCGATTGTGTGTTTGAACGCGATTCTAGGTGGATTCCCGCCATGGCAGTAGAATGATGACAGGCATCTCTTACAGATGACAAGCTGATGGTCAGTAGACAGATCAGCTACAAAGCAGGTCCTGGTTCAAGGACATGGGCCAGCATCCACTGTTCCCTCACTTGGTCGTCCTACAAAGCTCAAAGTTCATTTAGTAGGTATAGCCCTGTGAGCCATGCGGCTCTTAAGTTAGGTGCAACCGCAACAAACAAATATGAACACAGAACATCTTAAAGCGACGACGCGTAACAGAAACATCCTGGAATAAACCAGCAAATATTTTTTTTAAACGTATTTAAACGCTGTATGCAAAAATCCCAATGTGGTGCAAGTCAACAATAACAAGCATAAGACAATTTAGATTAACCATATGTTTTCGAATCACCAAAATAAAACTATAAAAACAATGTAACAACAGTAATCATAGGAACTGTGATTCAAATTTTTACAATAAACAAGACACATAGCACGTACGACCAAACTTGCAGCCATAGCTGGCAGCATGACACTCCCAGTGTATGATGTGTGAGTGAGTCAGTGGTAATGTTGAGTGAGTGTATGATGTGCGAGTCAGCTTATGATGTGTGAGTCAGTGTATGATGTGTGAGTCAGTGTATGATGTGTGAGAAAGTCAGTGTATGATGTGTGAGTGAGTCAGTGGTAGTGTGAGTGAGTGTATGATGTGTGTGAACGTCAGTGTATGATGTGTGAGTGAGTCAGTGGTAGTGTGAGTGAGTGTATGATGTGTGTGAAAGTCAGTGTATGATGTGTGAGTGAGTCAGTGGTAGTGTGAGTGAGTGTATGATGTGTGTGAAAGTCAGTGTATGATGTGTGAGTGAGTCAGTGGTAGTGTGAGTGAGTGTATGATGTGTGAGTGAGTTCAGTGTCGGCTCCCTCTGCTCGCCCCTCTTGCCCACCACAAGCGGCCCCGCCAGCCGCTGGGAGTGCGTGCCTCATGCGGCCATCTTCTTTTTTCATCACGCCCCCCCCCCCGGCTCCGTCGCCCCCCCCCCCCCGGCTCCATCGCACCCCCCCCCAGGCTCTGTCGCCCCCACCCCCCCCCCCGGCTCTGTCGCCCCCCCCCCCGGCTCCATCGACTCCCCCCCCGGCTCCCTTGCCCCCCCCCCCGGCTCCGTCGGTGTGTATTCATGATGTTGTGTGTATGTGCCGATGTTGGAAAAGTGAGTAGGTGATTACAATCCCATGCGCTCTACAGAAGTCTAGCAGCTTCCTATCGCTGTTATTGAGCTGATCTAGCTCACGCCTATTAATCATTCCGGCCCAGGTGTCTACGTCACCCAATAAGGTGATTAACTTGAGAGGCCACTTTAACCAGCACCTGGAATAGGTTATGAAAGACATCTGACTTATCGGCCATATCTGCGTCCCTCCACTGATGCTCATCTTTGCTGGGAGCATAAGGCACGACGGCCATTCTTCACCTCCTGTTAACGGGGAGGTGAGCCCACATAAGCCTGGAGACTTGCCACAAAGCTCCCCACGCCCACTTCATCATTTTGTTCGGAAGCAGAAACACACTGTTGTTGTTTGATAGCCAGGAAACTGGGTGATCAGGGACACCTTTCGTTCTGCCTCACGGCAGGTTT